ATTTCATTGCAACCATAAGGTTATGGACAAAGATTGCGACATGGTATATAAGAATGTTTCTGACATATATAAATCCGGGGAGTTTAAGACCTACGATAACTTTGTTTCGTTAGTTGCTGAATGTGTATGGCAGATAAGAGATAAAGATAGAAGAGGTAAAATATGGAACGAACAGATAAGACCAACTGCTTTTGAGTTAAAGAAAACCATTGACGCCTTAGTTGTTTTAGCAGGTAAGGTTTCAGAATATAACGCAAAAATGAATCCGCAATGTTCTAAATGTAAAGCAGCAATTAGGAAATATAACTACTCCGTCAAAGAGATAGAAAGAATGCGAAACGACTATGCAGACTTAAAGAAAGAAGCAGAAAAGCCAGCAGAAAATAAAATGGACATGTTAGCATTTCTGAACAAAAACTATCCAACTGCTGACGATTTCCTTCTATCTGACGTCAAGAAGAAATATAAAGAAACTTTCGGCATTGTTAAAACTTTTGACATACTGACAGAAGAAATAGAAGCTACGAAATTGTTTAGGATTTCAAATATACATCGTACAATTCATGTAAAACGCTTGTGAAAAACTGGGGTGAGAAAACAGGTGAGAAAACGGGTGACATCTCACCTCTTCACCTAAACATTATTTTTACTGAATTCAATAAAAATAAATGGTTCATTTACTCACAATATTTTTGTACAAAACGACCCCAAACTTTTAACTTCTTTTCTGCAGCTTCAAATGCTATCTTAGCGAGTTCATATTCTCTAAATTCTCTCTTTAAATCTTCTTGTTCCCATTGGTCTAGTTCGTATGGAGAATCTCTATAACCATAATATATCTCACGTTCATGTTCTAATTGTTTTTCACACATTTTTCCAACTTCTTCTTCGAACAAAGGTTTAGCATTCTCCACTGTATCTTCGAGTTCTTCTTCATCTAACTTCTCATGAACTTTCTTGTCTATGGAGTCCATAATATCTTTGACATAAAATGCATACTTTACAGAGCACCATTCAGCAACAAAATGAACGAGGTCAGCATGTATGTAAATACCTTTGAATTCATTCATAACGCCCTTAGCAAGCTCATAAAATGCTTGTTTTGAGGTTGAGCCACTTTTGGCTCGACCGTATTCTTTCAACCAAAACTCAAGAATTTCCTGCATTTTAGCACTATTGAGAAATCTGTTTAAATGGTTTAACTTTCCTGCTTCTCTCGCCATCTTTGTTGCATTAATGTAACCATCCTTGTCTCTACGTAAGACTTCAATACCGTTATAAGTGCCTTTTGTGAATGTTTCGCCATTAGATTTGTTAGTGAATGTTTTTGCTTCGACTGACATTACTGTCTTTACATACAAAATAAAAAATAAATAAAAATAAAACTAACTTTATTTTTGGTCTTTTGTGAAAATTCATGAAAATTCAAGAGGTGAAAAAAGAGGTGAGAAAATAGGTGAAATCTCACCTCTTCACCTAAATTATATTTTTGTCTGATTTACATCCAACGAAAAAGTTTAGAAGAATTTTCTTATTCTTTCTGGCATGTTTTTATCTTTCCAGTACTCCCGCTCTAATGGTCCCAGATGAGTTGGTTTAGATTCTCTCAAGTTCTTAGATGGTATAACATCTTCAACGCCTCCTTCATATCTTACTTTATAAGTGTCATCGTTTGTGTTGTAGTCAAGTATTTCAATAACCACTCCTCGCTTTGCTTCGTCAATGGTTTCAGCAAGTTTGCCATTACTACTTTCGACTAATTTATGTCGAGGGTAAAATGCTATGGAGTCGTCAGCAGCTTTTATAAGATATCCATTACCTTGCGTAGAGTCTACGATATAATAATTTCGACTTAACCTTAAACGTTTCTTTGTCAATGGTTTGTCGTCAAGAACTACACGAACTTTTGTACCAGGAATGAGGGTAAATTGTTTTGAATTTCTGATATTTTGTGTTTGACTTAGTTTCTTTTGTATATACTTTTCTTCTTGTTGTTGTGTCATTGAATTTGGTGTATGTCCTGTTGTAGAATGTGTTGAGGAATTATATACTTCGAGAAAATGTTTCATTGTTTCTTCGGTAAAGTCTCGCTCTTGATTTAAATCTCTGAGAGTCCTTATGAAGCGGTTAATGATACCGAGTATGTTATGGTTATGGTCTTCAGTAGTGTAGTGAGTTATGTTATGCTTAATGAGAAATTCTGTGATTTCGTTGCTGAGGTATGCACCGTCTTGGTCTGATGTTAAAATACTTGGGCTATGTTCTGCTACAAACTTTTGTAAAACTCTTAACACTTCACGAGTTCCTTTATTTCTCATTATATACGCATATGCTTTACGAGTGTTAACATTTATGAAGATGAGGAATGGTTTATGTCCTCCTTTTCTGCTTTGAATGAGAGTGTCAAATTGGTATGCGTCAGGAGTGTTGGAGTAAATTGGTAAAAAGTAGTCGTAAGGGTTTATTTTTGTTTGATGTACAACATTTTTGTCAAAGAACCTTTTCACTTCAGCTCTGTTAGTAAATCCCGAACTCTTTGCAGCTTCATTGAACTTCTTAAATGACCTCCATGGATGTTGTTCGAATACTTCTTTCAAGCTCATTTATGTAAAGTTAAAGATTTTAACCAACTCGTATCCAAGCGTGCATTGTTATATAAGGAGGCATATAATCTTTTCCATTACCTGCTGGGTCTGTAATACCAGCTACAACATGTGTATGATTTCCTGCAGTTCCACAGAAAATACCTGTGCTAACATCTTTGGGGTCAGTTGTGATATCATATCTATTCATTCCCTGTCTATCCGAACCCGCTGCAAGATTTGTATAACCTCTTTTTGTCATTGAATGTGAATGGTTTCCTTCCACAGATGTTCTTCCACTGAACCTATGCATATGTGAAGGAAGGTTTTCAATACCTATTTTCTTTGAACCTCCCATCTTCATTGACTGCGTATTAGTGTAGAATGGAAAACTGTCAACTATTTCATACCATCTACCACCAAATAAAGTGTTTGGATTTATTGGATTCATAGACGTATAAACAGCTCCTATAGGATATATTAAATCATATATGCTCATAACTCTATAAACATATTCTAAAGAACTTATGTCATTAAATACCATTTGGAATGTATCTCCCGGATGAAATGTTGCATTTGTTCCACTTTTATAATGTAATGTTAGTTCAATAGAATTATCCAAGAAAAATTCAAAAGTATCTGGTTGAAGACCTCTAACAAATTCAAATGGAGTTGCTGGTTCACCATTTATAATTTCTGTTGTAAATGTCATTGTATCTGGTTTCGAAAATTTCTTTGTTAGTTCTGCATCCACATAAGTTTTGTCTGCTTTATTATCTAACATTGTTGGTAGTTCATGTGCTTCAAAGTTTCTGGCATGACCTTCAATGTTCATACTTTGTTATTTAAAGTTTAGTGTATCTTTTACGCTTGTACTTGGATTTTTTAATGGTGCACTTGAACCAAGGTCAAAGTTCAATATTATGTCGTCTGCTCTAACAGTAGTGAAGGATTTATGTGTATGGTTCTTGTCGCTTTCTTATCATATAAATCTTGAGCAGTGAATTTAATATTATGTTCATCCTTCATGACATAAACATCTTTACATCTAATGTTTCTCATCGTCGTTATGTCGTCATCCGATGTTAAACCTTGTGGAAAGTTAGGAGGTTTACAATATAATGCATCCCCACCAGTTTCTTCAACCGTTCCTTCAATACTTTCTATAGCAACAGTTGTGAAGGATTTATGTGTATGGTTCTTGTCTGCTTTCTTATCTAACATTGCTGGTAGTTCATGTGCTTCAAAGTTTCTGGCATGACTTTCAATGTTCCTGCAACTGTTATCTAAACTGTTAAGAGTATCTTTTACGCTTGTACTTGGATTTTCTAATGGTGCACTTGAACCAAGGTCAAAGTTCAATATTATGTCGTCTGCTCTAACAGTAGTGAAGGATTTATGTGTATGGTTCTTGTCAGCTTTACTGTCTAAAGAAGTTTGAAGTTCATTTATATCGGAGATGTTGTGTTTATGAGATTTCAAAACTTTGTTCGTTGCGTCAAGTTCAACTTTGTCAGCTTTACTTTTAATAGCATCTTCAAACGTTATTTTTGCCTTAACTCTTAACATAAATCTTGGTTCAACTAATACACCATTAACAGAGAAAGTAGAGGCATAAATTTCATCGTTATAACTAAATACTTCTGGTGCTTTACCTGTGTCATACTGTACAGTACAGCTTATGTCATAACCTTTAGCACGAATGTATTTATATCTTCTTTCATTAACATTTTTTGTCTTCGCTTCATCACTTCGTGTTAAATATCCATGGTAGTCCGTTATAATCTGTTCGTCTGAAGTTATATAATGAACGTGGTTTTTATCTGCTTTTTCGGCTAATTTCTCATTAACATCATTCACTTCTAATTCAACTCTTCCGCCAGAACTCTTATTATCATTAATCTTTTTCATTAATTCGGTAATTACGTCATAAAGACTATATTCTGTTTTCGGTTTTGTAAATAATGAGTCAAAATTTCTTTTCATCATTACATCGCTGACATTAATGATATCACCAATTCCTTTTTCATTTATTCTCTTCATTAGTTCTGCAATAATGACGAATATATAATCTGTTAATTTATTCTCTTCATCGAGGGTTATAGAATGTTTTGAAATTGAATCATTAACTCCTCTAAATAAATCAATAACTTCAGGATACACGTTTTTAATGTCTTGAATAACCCGACCAGTATCCTCGCCACTATGTGGCTCTGAGCCCGTTGGGCTCTGTTGTTCATGTTCTTCGTTCCCGTCGTTACGTGGTTTTATATCTCTAACCATCATCAACGCAGCCATAACCGGAGGGTTTGTTGCTACCTGTTCGAAAATCCGTCCGTTATGTATGGTATATCTAAATAATTTCTTTGTGTTTGTTAAAACATTTGAAACAAGTCTTTTAAAACCATCTACAAAATTTCCTGTTTCACCTAATGTTCTTGCAGCATTTACAAGCTCACCCATTCCCGCTTTTGACCCCAAAAACGTCCATATTGCATTTATTTCACTCTGTATAGTTGTCCATTCAGCGAAACTAACACCCGCATTCGCTAAGCTGAAAATGAAATTCAGTGGATCGAACTTAATTCCACCTTCTTTTTCAATTTCAACGAACTCACTAACATGAGATTTTAAATATTCTTTCGTTAAAATTGTTTTCCCCGATGTTATGTCATTAACGAAACTATCACCGTCAAAAGTTAACGAATTCAATTTCGTCGTTGATGCTTTTATTTCATACACCGCTTTATCGATAGTTTTTGGCTCACCTTCTTTAGAAGCATATGAAACATTAATGAATGAATTATATGTATTCGTGAATGAGTTAAAATCAATGATTTTCATTAATGACGCCTTTAATGATTCATTAACTGTTGAATCCCTTAAAACAATTAATGAACTGTCCTTTATGAAAGGTACACTGCAAACCGTCGAGTTTGGATCAAATGCTGTAGTTGGTGCAGGAATATTAATGATATAAGTCATTAAATCATTAAGTGACGTAAATAATGTTGTCGTTTTTGATTTAATTTCTTTAGCATCTGTTATATATGGTAATTTTATTTCTGTAGTTTCTGAATTAAAGATATTCGCTAAAATGTTTTGTAAACTGTTTTGAACAGCTGTGTAAACCGTTGAATTCGGAACTCTTACGATTTCACCATCCTTAATAAAAGGCATTGTACATGACGTAGTGCTTGGGTCAAATCTTTCGGGATTATAATTCAACATATATTCTAACGCTTCATATACAGACCTATAAACAGTTGTGTCGTTCTTCATGACAACTTCACCATTTACAATGAATGGCATAGTGCATGGAGTTAAAATAGGGTCAAACTTTTCATAGTCCTTCCATGTTATGTATTTCTCGGTATTTCCATCAGAAATAACAATATATTTGTCAGTAAGTGTGAGAGAGTATTGACCAAAATATAAACGTTTAGCTCTGTCAGCTTCATACGCATATGCAGCAATACTCATATTTTAATGAGAATAAAATGTTGTTCTATTTGCAAAGTACAGACCCAAACGAATACGGAATAGTAAAGCTACAAACAAACTTAGGTCTTCAGAATGAAGCGCTTGCTTTCAGAGTTGTTGACTTCAATACTATCGCTTTTCGTTATAACAGATGAAACAGATTTCATGGAGCTTGAAATAGATGGAAAGAAGCACGAAATAAGATTTCACAATAATGTAGAATATAAGATGGAAACATTAGCTGGAGTGTTAAATGCGCTCATAAATACTACAATAAACAAGGAGAACGAAGAAAACTTAATGAATGTTAAACTTATTGCAGGAGTTTTGAAGTTCAGTTATGCGAAGGAGTTTAAGATAACACGAATGAGTCATAGAGTTCAATTGCTTCTGGGAGCATACCATATGACATGTCCTTTGAAAAGTGTTGACAAAACGATTGAGATGAAATCTGTTCCATACGTATGTTATGGTAATTGTTTATACGTTGAGTCAAAAATAGCTAATGTCACAGGTATTTCAGGAGTTAATAGTAAAGGTTCAGTAGAATATAAATCCTTCTGTTATGCAGTCAATTCAATGTTCATTCCAAACGTTCCTGTCATAGTAACTCATTTAGGTAAATGGGTTCGCATTAGTCCTCATAATTTGAAAGACATGCAATTCAGACTTGTTGACTTTCAAGGAGAGCCTGTAGAACTGAAGGCACCAGTGCGAATGACTGTTGAAGTTGACTTTTTAGAAAATATTAAATGCAACAGCTTACAAGAGAACTCAGAGCTAAAAATATAAAGTATGAATGTTATGTATTAGGTCATGAACTTTGGTTATTGCTGTTTGATGAAACAAATGAGTTAGTTATGTCAGTCAAGAGAACAGAAAAAGGCGTCAAAGGCGCCGAGCGCAAAGCGCTATATTGTGTTAGTGAAAACTGCACCAAGTCAATAAGATTAGGTTTGCATTATGAAGATGAGTTCGATACTGTTGAAGAAGTTTTGGATAGATATTACAAATTGCTTTAATTTACTAAAACATATTTCAAACAAAGCTTATATTCTGTTGAAAGTTTTGTATATTCATTCGAATATTTATACTTAAACTCAACTCCTGTAGTTCCTGGTATTTCAATGATGCGGATGTTACCTATTTTCATGAATGGTGGCGTTTGACCACAGCATTCGATTTCAGGGTCGAGATAGTCAATGACACATTGTTTCCCTGTTATTCGTGATATAACATTTTCAAGGTCCTCCTTTGTTAGAATTATTTGGTTCTTGCTTATAAGATTTGTCAAAAGCTTCTTATCGTCTTTGAGTAAAATTGTTTGGTATAACTGAAGAAGGTAATGGTCTACGTTATCTGAAGGATTTGTTTGAACATTTGTGTAAGGGTTGTCGTTGGCTTCTCTTGAAAGAATTTGGTCCAGTGGTGGATACTCTAACTTAACATCTGATGTAGCGTTAGCGTTTGAAGCTGTGTTTAAATTCACGGATTTCAGCTCTGGTTCTGGCTCTTTCAAACACTCCGAACTATAGTTCTTTATGACAATATTGTTTGTCGTTCGTGAGTCAACATTTGATGTTGGTTCAATTGGAACATTAACGGCACCAGCTAAGATGGATTTGCTTCTCATTTCATATAGAATAAAAACCTTTTATATGTATGAAATGAACAATATACTCGACAAGGGTTTGAATGTAAAGCTAACGAATGAAAATATTGTTGAATTCACTGAGACAGGTGCTGTGTATAAAGATGTAGAACTACTGAACAAAAGAGCTAAGGGAAGAAGCAGGAACATGAACAAAGGGTGGAAGCCTATAAAAATTTATGTCAATGATGGCTCAGGAGGTTCAAACATAAAGTATGCAGAAAGTTATAGAGTTTATGCGCTAAAAGGTGAAAAGCCTTCATTTAAGAACAGCTATTCTAACGCATATCCTCAAAAGTTAACGGATGGGGAAGTGGATGATATGAATGACAGCAAAAATATTAACAGAAATGGCGACAGAGATGCATGGAATTTGTTTACCATCAGTCAATTGAAGGTTAAACTTTAAAACAATGTTGGTCGTTCCCATGGAATATTTTTGACTTTAATGGTATTAGTCATGATATGAATCTCAAGGTATGAACGAGGAGAGATGAGAGACTTATATGCTTCCCAAATTTCTTCAAAAGGTAATGTTATACCTGACTGTTTCCAAATGAGTTCAATATCATAGCGTGAGAAACCTTGAAAGATAACGAAGTCAGTTATGAGACGTTTTATGTTTAAAGCAAGAAAACGCCATGTTTGCATAAGTATTGCTACAGTTAAGTGGTAATGTCTGACTTTAGTAATGATGTTAGCTAATGGTGAGTCAGGCTTTGACACTAAACCTTTTCCGGCGAAGTCGTCGCAAACGAGCAGAGTGTTTGAAGGATACTTTTTGAAGGGGTATTTTGAAAGTTTTGACAGAATGTAGTTTGTAAGTCGTTTCATATCGTAAACTCCTGAGTATTGACGTAAGTGGTGTTTGTCAATAATTCTTTCCATCTCTTCTGAAGTCTTTTGCATTCCTGACTGTATAAATTCAACGATGGCATAATATTTCCTCTTACGTCGAATGTAACGTTGAAGAAATTCAATGAGTTCACTGTCTGGAACTTTAACGACAGAGGCTTGAACTTTTGACATAAATGTTTTCGCTGTTGAGTCCATAGAGTCTGAAGTTGCTGATATAATGATTTGGTCATAATAAGTCTTTCCTAAACGCTCTGTTATGAGTATATGACGAATGAGGTTAAATGTCTTACCTGACCCATCTTTCCACAATAGAAATACACACCATTTGAACAGAACTCATAGTCCTTACTGAAAGGAAGAATGAGAGAAGAGTTAAGTTTGTCTGTAGTTTCATTCATGTCTTCATCTACGTCATGTATTAAATGCTTCATTTTATCTCCATTAAAAATGCAAGTCAGAAATATTCAGAACATAGCACCGAGTCTAACTGACAAGAGTATAAAGATATACTATGAACACGTTATGATGAAACCACCAAAATTCAAGAAAGTCAGTATACTTATGAATATCCAAGACACTGGGTAGAGTATGTAGGAGGTGAGAAAGCTATTGAAATAAGACAAGTTAGAAGTATTCCAGCAGGAAGGACAATATTATTGAAGAACTTTAATGTTTTGAGGTATAATGATGAAACAAAGAAGCAAGATAGTTTTCCTATTGCTGTGTATGTGAACCTAGACACAGGAGATGACATGAAAGTTTTTAACACAAAGCTTCAAACGGTAGTGAGAGAACAACTGACTGCGGAAGGGCATCCATTACCTTCAGAAGTTACCATAGCATATAATTTTGAAACAAATCAATAGATTTTAAAGTCGTCTCTGCAAAGAAGTCAGGTTTTACATTTAATGAAGCAGATGTATATTCGAATGAAAACTTCAAAGCTATTGCATGGTTAGATAATGACGATTGCTTTAAGAAAATATTTAAATTCAGTGACTCAACGATGTCAATAGATGACCTTCGTGGAATGTTACCATCGACGTTTACAGTAGAAGGTTCAGCAGGATTGCTTACAAGATTGTCAATTGGTGGTATTTGGTCTCGTGAGAACATTGTTATAAAATCCAGTATAAGTGAATTTGCTGAAGAATCTATATTATGTCTTTCAAACTACATGTATTCGCCACCGAAGCATTATAGTATAACAAACTTTGTCAGTAAGTTTAACATAAGACTTGTCGAACCTTCTTCAATGAAAGATGTTGTGCTACCTAAAGATGGAAAGGATGGACTCATTATTGAAATGATTTTAATAGCATATTAAATGAGCTTGTTCTTGAAGGTCATTCATGATGAAATAACTGTTGTAGAAGATGTTAGCAATTGTTCAGACATTTTGAAGCGTATAGATGAGATAAGAAAGAAGTTTAGACCGCAACGCGGTGAGGACGAAGCCATGAGAATGTTTATGTTTCATTGACTTTCTCCAGTAACGAGAACTTTTATGAGATAATATTGAAGAGAGATGATTTTAATATGGTGTAAATGGTAGCTTGGACAGCTTTAGGGGCAATGGGAACAAAAGCATTAGCATTTGGAGCAAAAAGCACTTGGGGCTTATGACGCAGTAAATAAAATGAGTGGAGGAAGGGTTTCGAAGACATTAGATGCAAATAAAGGGAAGATTGGAGGCTGGGTTGCAAAGAAGTTAAGATTAAATAAAATAGGGCTCATAAATAAAGCATCCAATTTGGTTGCGACTGAGTCAGAAAATGCTTTAGGAAAGGACGATGAGTTTGCAAAACATGCAAAAGACTTTAATGACCAGATGAAAGGTGAAACAATGCATTTAAATAGATTCGATGGAACTCTTCCTCCACAACTTCCACCAGCAGTTCTTCCGTATGGTCCCTATGGAATGTATGGAAACCCTTACGAAAGACCATTTGACCCATTGACTGGTGGAAGTAACTGGTATCATTACGGACGAAGAAGAAAGACAGTCAAGTTGGAGACAGACGTGAAGAAAGCAACTAAAAAGAAATCAAGGAAGAGAGTTATAAAGCAATGAATTCAACGGGTGAAAAAAGAGACCCAAAGGGTCAGAGCCGCAAAGCGGCTAGGTGAAAAAAGAGGTTAGATCTAACCTTCTACCCTAAATTTATTTTTGTGCTATGTTTTCATACGTGTGAGGGTGGTGATATCATTTATTTTTAAGTTTATTTTTACTGAAAATTTTTATTTGGATGTAAATGACAGAACAAAAGCAACTCATTCGAATTCCACAGTATAACAAACATACATTTAAACATTTATTCTTCCTTCCTGAGCATAACATGTTCTTTCAAATACATCCGAGACCAGTTGACTTTTCATTGACTGTGTATAAAGATAGAAATAGTTATATCATTAAACCATACGATGACGAAGGTAAGTTATGTAAATTGTACGTTAAGAAGTTAGAGAAAGTTTATGGCTTCAAGTATGACTACAATAGGGTTAACACTGATGATGAAGATATTGAGGAAAATTTATGAGAACATTAGTGAAGTCGTTAGTGAGAATGATAGTGAGAACGTTTATTTTTTACATTAGTGAGTTCGTTAGTGAAGTGGGTGGCGGTTTTGTAAATATTTAAGATTAAGTTAGTTTTTGCGTTCATGTTGTAAAATATACGTTAACTGTTTTGTAAATATTTAAGGTTAAGTGGTGTACGGAGGCGCGCAGTGCCACAGTACCCAACTTAACCATACTAACTGAATTCACTGCAATGTCATGGTATTATTTGCAAAGAATGTTAAATCAGAAAGTCGAACTTCCTTTAGCAAATATTTACAGTCGATATGCAAGAGATGAACCATATTTATTTAAAGATGTTTTCGACCCAGCTGCTATTATTGTTCATGCTTCATTTTCTGGCGCCCAAAACTCTTTCTTATGCTTGGCAAATGACTTTTACGAAAAACCTACAAAGTTATACGAACCACCAAGTGGAAGTATTTCAGACTTTCAAGTATGGTTTACTACAGATGGAAGAAAAAGAATAATTCCATTATACCATGCGTTTTACTTAGAACTTAGTTTCATATACAACTACTATCGAACGGTAAAAATATAATTTTTTAATACGGTTGAGGTGTTGGATTTGGTTGCCAACTAGACTGTGGTGCAGGTTCAGGCTGTTGTATAACAGGGCTTGTTCTTCTGGTTCAGGGTCTTTAGGTATAATACCAACAAACTGACCTACCCTTTTACCAATATTTTTGACACCGTTCAAATTCCTCTTCCTACGGTTTTTATTCCATTCCATATACCTCTTCCAACATTTCGAAAGAAGTTTCCTATCTTACTGAAGAAACCCATTTTACTATATGTAAAATCTAATGTCCGCCTAGTCTCTTACGTTTCCTGTTGAGTTCCATAGCATTCTTTAACTGGAGCTCATACATTCTGTTTCTCCTCTGGTAGAAAACATATTCTGGGTCAACTCCTGTGTTCGCGTCATCTGCATAAAGTTTTATATCCCACTTCAGGGTTTGTATAAAACTCTTTCCATCTCATATTTGCATACCATGGTGGCAAACCTAACGCAGCGTCATTTGACATGGCAGTTGCATTTGTACATCTGTTGGCACTTGACCATAGTTTGCCATTGCAGTTTGTATTCTAACTTCATTTGGAATATTCTCTGGGTTTGGTTGTCCAGGTTGCTGTGCATTCGCTAAGTTCTGTGCGTCCATTTAATATTAGATAAAAATATCTCTTACGAGTACATATGCTGAACATTTGCAGGCATTGGTTCATCTTCATATTCTCTGTACTTTTCTGCCACGTCAAATAAGTAAATGACACAATGGAAAAAACCTAAAACAAGTAGTCCTATTTCAAACCACATTTACTTACTAATAAAATTTCTTTGTTATGACACTTTCTCCGGTTTATAGGTCCTCTCTCATATTCTATCTTGTCATATATAAACTCATAGTCATGTATGTCCTCTAACCATTTCATGACACTTTCCAAACCACTTTTATCGGATGTAAAGTAAAAGCATGGACAGTTATGTAAAACGTCTAAAGTTTCTAAAGAGTCTCTCAAAGTCCAGTCTACTTGGTATTGAAAATCGCATGTGTTATAGAACGGCGGGTCCACTATAAAGAAAACATTTTCCTTGTCTTTATATTTTTCATACAACTCTGTCCAACGACATCTCACAAACTCTATACCCTCAATATATTTTTCTATGTCCTCTTTGAAAACATTTGTATAGTTAAGATAAAAACTTTTGACATAAGTGTTTCAATGTCATGAACTCTTATAGAACCACTATATAATAGTCTAGCAGATATACTATCCCAGTCTATATATTCTGCTTTTTTCAAAACCTCTCTCACAATATTTTTCTTATCTAATGGTATACGTTCCATCTTACCTATAGGTATCTTTTCTTTTAACTCTTTCAATATATTGTTTGTGTCTGGTATATGTTTGAGACGGTCCATATAGTTGTCGAAGTCATTGCATATAATCTTTGAGTCTGGGAATATTATATGGCACAAATGGGATATATAGAAACTTCCACCGAACAAATCTACAAATGTTAGACCATTCGGTAGTTTCTTAAGTTCTCTCAATAGAATATCTTTACATCTACTCTTATTTCCAAAGAACGGTAACGGTGGTTTTGTAAAATTCATTTTATATATATAATAAAAATGTTTTTACCTGAAAAGTGACAGAAAAGTGACAAAACATGAAAACATATATATTTTGTGAAAAGCTCCTGGAAGACCCGTATATAAGAACTTCATTATACCATTCATCCTCAGGGCTAGAAGGCACGAAGTGCCTGGAAGCCCCACTACCTTTTTTTTTTTTTTTTTTTTTTTTTTTTTGTTAACATCCACACCATGTTCAACTAAGAATTTGGCAATCTTGAATGAATTCGCTTTGATTGCCATACTAAGTGGGCATTCAATAATATAGAAAGAATATCATTAAACAATGATTAACATGAATACATAGAGAATTTCATTAAAATATGATAAATATGAAAAGAATAATAATGTGCATCTCATTGATATTTGCTCCATTAGAAATCAAATACGAAGCAACATCATAGTTTCCAAAATACATACATTCTGCTATTGAATCAGGAGTATATCCAAAATTTGATTTAAGGTACTCCGCAATTTCAAAATCATGACAGTTAAATGCCATATTAATTGCTTTTGCAAATGATCTCCCTTCATCTATCATTTGCATAAAAATATTTTTATTTCCGCTTTGAATTGCATATTTTTCGGAGAGATCTGTATATTTAGCTCCTAATTTTTTCAAGTAATTGAAACACAATTCTGATCCGTATTTAATTGCACAATCAAGTGGGGTCATATCAAAGAGTGCGGGACAAATTTGCCAGGTGTCACTTTTTCAATAACCTTAAATTACGCTTTTCTAATTTTTTTAAAAAATAACCTTAAATTATATTTGAAGAAATTATGTCTATGATATATGTTTTATGCTAGAATCTTGTAGTTTTCATGCACTACACAAGAGCTCCAAGGTTCCAAGAGTGAATGCTCAATAGCAATTATAGAGATGTACCTTTTCAAAATGACTTTTACTGATTAAATTTAATCAATAGAAGACATTTTGAAAAGGTACCTCTACAATTAGATATACAAGAGATTCAAAGCTTCATTTCAGATAGATTTGAAACTTTGAAACTCTTGGTAGATTTTGAGTGAATGCTGACAATCATCTTTGAGAAGGTTTTCTTTAAGAAAACCTTCTCAAAGAGGTTTCTCAGGAGCCCTGAGGCTCCCTTTCGTAATGATTGGGAGCCTTGGGGCTCCTGAGACGAAGAATGGCTTCGCCGAATCTTTGATCAGCAGAGGCCAAATGAAAAGGCCTCTGCTGATGGATTCTCAGGAGCCCTGAGGCTCCCTTTCGTAATGATTGGGAGCCTTGGGGCTCCTGAGACGAAGAATGGCTTCGCCGAATCTTTGATCAGCAGAGGCCAAATGAAAAGGCCTCTGCTGATGGATTCTCAGGAGCCCTGAGGCTCCCTTTCGTAATGATTGGGAGCCTTGGGGCTCCTGAGACGAAGAATGGCTTCGCCGAATCTTTGATCAGCAGAGGCCAAATGAAAAGGCCTCTGCTGATGGATTCTCAGGAGCCCTGAGGCTCACTTTCGTAATGATTGGGAGCCTTGGGGCTCCTGCAGCAGAGTATCGCTCCGCTCCATTAATTTTTTTTAAAAAAAGTGCCGTGTGGCAAATTTGTCCTGTTCCCCATCTTTATTATTTTTTTTATTCCTTTGAAAAGTGACACTGGATAGTTTGTCCCTTTCTCCATATCAAATTCAATTAAATCATTAACATCAAGATTTGGGAATTTACTCTTAAGATCATCAATTTTATCCCAAGCAATATAGTATAAAGGAGATTTCGTTGAATATATATTGAGAATTTTTTCTTCTGTCATTTTAGGCTTGAAATTTTCAAAATTCAAACCTTTGTAATATAATAACGTTGCTAATTTATCATTTTCCAGTTTGATGATCCATGAAAATTCGTTTGATACTTTCAAATATAGTTCTGTAAATATTTTAATATCTTTTACACGAATTTGTGAAAAAATTATCAATCAAACAAAGTGCTATTTGGATAGTTATTTTGTTAGTTTTAATGAATTCTATAATTTGCCAAGAAATTTGTAAAATATTATTGGAATCGACACTCCAAATCAATTTTGAAGCTTGATTAGGGTATTTAAATACCTCAATTGCATCTGTATCTCTAAAACCATATTCATTTTCATTAGGGGGCTGATCTGAACTTGACATGATTTTAAAATTTTGGCATTTTTCACGCAAAGTTTATAAAAACTACAAATTTATGGAAGAGATAAGATATATATTTCTAGATCATAGATTATTTATGCGAAAAATATTATAAAAAATTGTAAAAACAATCCAAAAATTGAATATCTTTGTCACATTCAAAATGATTAAACACGATAAATTCTATAATTAAATTATCAATTTGGAACAATCTTATCTGATATCTAATTTCAAATTTGATTTTTCCTTGAGAATAGAAATAAACGCATCAAATCATAATAACAATACTAAAAGTAGTATAATAATGATAATATTTTTGGTTAGGTGTTGAAAGCCAAAGGAAGCAATCTACACGCCGATATATAAATTGAAAAATAAAATATGAAATTTCAAAAAAATTTAACGCTTTTAATTACTTAAAAAATCTTATGCTAATGGAGCGCAAGCTGTGCCGATGACACCCTCGATCTTGTTGACCTCCTCCATGAAGCAAGCTGGAGCGGACATTCTGAGTGTGCAGATCTGGGACTTGTCACCCTTAAGGACTGTGTTGGAGACAGAGAAGATCTGAGCCTGGTGAGCCTCGCAGCAAGCGATGATCTTAGCGAAGACGCCTGTGTGGCGGACTGTCATGACGCCGTCAGCCTTTGGAGCTGCGTTGATGTTGACGCAGTTGAGGGCTTCGCCTGTTGAGCAGAATGTGTTGCAGACACGGACTGTCTCGTTGGCAATTCTGTCAGCAGCCTGTTCTGTGGAAGCACCGATGTGGCATGTAGCGGAGACAACAGCCTCAGCAACTTCCTTGTGTGGGAAGTCACCCATTGAGCCAGCTGGTTCGCCTTCGAAGACATCGACACCAACCTTGAGGCCCCTCTCCTTGATGGCGGCGAGCATAGCCTGTGTATCAACAACTTCACCACGGGATGTGTTGATGAAGATGGCCTTCTTCTTCATAGCATCGAAGAATTCCTTGCCGATGAGGTGGAATGTCTCTGTCTTGTTGAAAGCAACATGGACGGAAACAACATCGGACTTGGCGGCGAGTTCTGTAAGGGAGGCAGCGTATTCAACACCGAGTTCCTTAGCTTCTTCTGGTGTGAAGCGGCGGGACCAGACAACAACGTTCATCATGAAGCCCTTAGCAATGCGGATCATGGACTTGGCGATGTTGCCACGGCCGACGATACCGAGTGTGCGGTCACGAAGGCCTTCGCATGTAAGGAAGAGTTTCTTGCGCCATTCGCCATTGCGGAGATGAGCTGTGTTTGTTGTGATGCAGCGGTCGCAGCAGACGATGTGGCCGAAAGCGAGTTCAGCGACAGCATCGTTGTTCATGCCTGGTGTGTTGCAGACAAGAACACCCTTAGCGGAGGCAGCATTGACATCAATTGTGTTGACACCAGCGCCAGCACGGATGATGAGGTTGAGGCCCTTAGCAGCTTCGATAGCAGCAGCATTGACAACCTTTGAACGAACAATAAGGACGTTGTAGTCGGAAATTTCGTTGGCAAGGGAAGCTTGTGTGATTGATGGATCCATGCGAACTTCATGGCCTGCAGCCTTGAGCATTTCGACGGCCTTTGGAGAGAGGGAGTCAGCGATGAGGATCTTTACCATTAAAGAAAGTGAAGAGAAGTTTCTGACCTCTCAATGTTTATTGAAAGAATATCATCGTTTTTGATATCACAAAATTTACTTCATCGTTTTATCGTAAATCATGAATATCATATTTGTATTGAATATTATGTATATTTTACATATGAAATACGAAGTGTGGTCAAATCAAAATAATTTTTAATTCTCCATATTTCTCCTTTATTTTTTGTTGTATTATATTAACTAAGTATTTTTATATTAAGTTTTTTACTTCCCTATTCAATTTTATTGAACGTTCTCTGAAAATTACTGAACTTATAAAATAATATACAAAGCATATAGATCATAATTAACCAATAAAATTCAAATTTCGGAGATTTGAAAAAACGAATCTTGCCAATTTGTCAAAAATAGATATTGGTGAAATGAATTTATCTCATAAATTCCAGCCGAGTAGTAAAATTTGAAATTCTTATTTTATTAGCTATTGTTTGGATTTTTAATATCAATTTGTTTCGTTTCTCACTGAACAAAAACAATCAAATCTAATTCACATTTGGCAATTATATACAAATACTTAGTACGAGATCTGAACGACTAATAATTTATTTCTGACCATTCTACAGTCTATATTCGGCTTATGGGAATAGAGCACTCATCATATACTTAAAATAAAATTTATTGATTGCGGTCCAAAACTTGTAGATTATTTATATTGAAGCATCAATCAAATTCTATCAATCTGGAAAACAAGTTATAGCTGAATCCGACTCAAAATATTATATAAAACTTTATCCTCTATAAGATAGATTATGTTTCCCGGATAATTACATTATTTTCCAATATAAAGTTTTAATACATCATCAAGGAGAAATGAAAATAAAGTCTACATATACTAAACGCTTTAAAGATTAGACCCTTTGCTGTTATACTTAATTTTTTTAAAAAAAATATAAAAAATGAATTAAATATCGCAAAATATGATTTAGTAACATGTATCAACACAGTACAAATATAAAATTAGCAGTCTGATAATTAGTAAAATGAGATTTCATCTATTATATCTTGATGATCATGAATTTCTTTTTGCTTAGCTTTTACCTGCTGTTGTAATTCTCTAATCTCTTTTTGAAGTTCTGGATGGCCACGTGTTTTTGCTATAAAATCGTTTGTTTCTTTAATTTGTTTAATTTTATTTTCTAACTCTGAATTTTGCTTCTTTTCTATCTCTATTTGTCTTTGCAATGCTGCGATCGATTGCTCTAACTTCTCAAAGTTATCATCTGAATACTCTGTTAATAAGATATCAGCTTTCTGTGAAATTTGAGCTAAATCTCTTGCACTATCTTTCTTCTCTTTTTCTAATCTTTCTATTTCAAGGAAAAATATATTCGTTTCTTCTTCCAATTCTGCAATCGAAGCTGCAAGATCAGATTTTTCGAGTTTTCGTATATCTTGTCGTTTCTGCTTTGCTATGTAATTCATGGAATTTACTTGTCTCGCTAGTGATTCCATATACAAATTATTCGTTTTTGTCTGTACAGTTTGATTTCTTGGATTTGTTGATCTAGAAAGCTTTGCAGATATATTTTGGAGTTCTATTTCTAAGAATGCTTTCTTTTTCTTCAAGTCTAAGATCTCTTCATAAGATATATCTTTTGATTCGAGCTCAATTTTCATAAAACGTGTTCGAGATGAGTATGGAATTGGTCTTGCTGTCTGAGCAATTGGTTGGAAGTAAGCCTGTGGGCGTAATTTTGGAAGTCTTGACATAAAAATTACAATTTTTCGGCGCGAAAAATTTGATTCTTTTGATCTTCAAAATTATTGGAATCGAATTTTGTAAAATTCGATTCCAAAAATTTTGAAGTGAAAAAAATAATTTTTTCTTTGTAACGAATTATCGTTCGTGGTTAGGATAAAAATCAAACCACAAATTTGTTACAGCATACACAAGGATTTTCTAAATTTTGTAAACAAAATTCTGAAAAAATACAAATGCTTTGATGATTGAAGACTTTTTGGGGAAGGAGTAGGAATTATTCAAGCACATATTACAGCCATCTGATGCATTCATGATGGCAATGCTCTTGAAACTTATTGTTTCATGTTCAATCGTGATGAAAATGAAATTTGGAGTGATTACCTATCATAATGTAAACTTTTATGATAGCCCATAATGCATATTCCGCTAAAAATGTGTCAAATTAAGAATTTATTGAAAAATTATTATGATTTCAAAGGAAATCTATGAACATATACAGATTTACAACTAGTTTATATCTATTTCATAAAGCTAATTAAGTTTACGAATGATATCATGATGTGCCAAGGGTAAAATAAATTACCCTTCAAAAATGCAATCGAATGTATTTGTGATATATGAATATGATGATAACGAGGAAACACTTGTTACATTTGTTTATCCATCAATAGATAAAGAGACAAAGTCAGTTATTCAAGAAACAGCTCATCATATCATCACGCAATCAACGGCATCAAATCTTTTCTCGTCATATAAGAAGAAATGGCTCTACTTCGATAACAAGAGAAATCAAGAACGTTCAGATAATGTCCGTATTTATGGTGTTTGTGTGGTATCAGAAGTTTTCAACCCACAATTATATTTAGATTTTACTTCCATTCTTTCGAAAATCGCTGCTGACACTAAAACACCTGCAAATGTTCTCCGTATCTATCTTATGATATTATCTCAAGGCTATCTCGATCAAGGCGGCATTGATTTCTCAATCGAAAATTACGGCGAATATTATACAAAAGTTTCATTCGAAAAGCTTCTCGATCGCTCCGGCCAGCACATTTCCGTCATCTGGCAAGCTCTTGTCACTGGTCGTTCTGTGGCAGTATATTCGCCAGATATTTCTATTCTCCAGGATGTTACTCTTGCAATACTTTGCTTATCCCGTCCAGGAAAGCGTAATCTCCTTCCTCTCGTTCTCGATAATTCTATTCTTCAGACAAATGCTGCCCAAGAGACAGCATTACCAATCTGGTGCAGCTCAGACCAAGCCATTCTTAACGGCCACTTCGATTTGATCGTAGACCTCGCTACTCGTACAATCAAAACTTCTCCTGCCTTTTCTAAGGAGGCTGGAAAGATTTCACTCGGTGAAGCCCTCATGAATACAATTAATGAGGTCACAGCGGCAGAAGGAAGCGTTCCAGACTCAATTTTAGAATTTAATGAATCTATCCTTGAAATTCTCGGCCAAATCAAGCAGAGAATGGGAGAATTGAACGCTCAGACGATTGGATCAGTAAATCTCCCAGCTGATAAGAAGCAACTACTCATCGGTATTGCTGCAAGTAGTGTCTTCGAAATTTAACTTTAAAAATAAACTTTTCTCACAGTATTTTCTTTTATATTTTCTTTTAATATATTGGATGCTTCGAATTAGTTTACCTTTCTTCGCCTGGGCACCTCAATTTTTTTAGATTTAATGAAATTGGAAGCACTTAAGGCTGCACAATAGATACATCCTTCAATTCAGATTCTTAAAGTTAATTTTCAATGATGCTTCATGCCAACTGTTTCTGATTTTAATTTTAACAGCCTTCGATTCTGTTGTCTATGGTTAATTTTCAATGATGTATCATACATGTTGTCAGTAATTTGAATTAAAAGTCAGATGGGTGTAAGTACACCATTTTAGGATGAACTTCCCACTTTCTGACATTCTTTCAATTTTTTTGACACCTTTGCTTTATATCCTAATTTTCTATGACAAAGAGTTAACATTTTTGATCGGGAAAGAGTTTTTATTATTCACTACCTAGTAACCTTTGGTAAAGTCAGCAGATCCCCTTACTTAAGCATGCAAAACAAAACAAAACAAAAACAAAAACAAAAAAAATAATAAAAAAATAAAAAAAAATAAAAGAAGAAATATATAAATGAATTTTATTAAACTGTTCAGATCTTGGAGTTCCTCGAAATGTGACCAATTATACTTACATCTTCGTCAACATCGTGGAATGAAACAAATTCTTCTTCATTGATCATTCCATCATCATGAATGATATCTCCGTATAATTCAAACTTGTTAATGGAGATGCAAGGTGGAAATCCTGGACAATGTTCATTTTGAATAATTTTTACGTATTTCGCAGTGTAAGTCTTATCTAAATTGTATGTTTTTTCATTGCAAAACTTCATTGTGTTATCTTTATCAACTCTGTGAACTTCAGTCCATGTCTTATTGTCATCTGAGATTAGAAGTGACCAGGAGTACAAGCAGCAGTCAAAGCAATACCCATTATTCTCATCATCACAGCAGCACCCTTCGTAACAGCATCCACAACGAACGAAATAGCCATTAAATTTCATTTTCTTCGACTTGAGATAATATGTGATATATGGGTGCTCGTCATAAGACTTTCCATAGTTAGAACACCAATCATATCGCTTGTCCCATGGATAAATTGAGTATTCGGGCTTTGTCATTTGCTTTGTTCCATTTATTCTTTGTTTTGATGATCCAGAAACTTCCATCATTACAATTTTGTCATTGAAGACCTTTTTGAATATTCCATTGCCATTGGACGCCCCGAAAACAAGGTAAATAGATAGCATTGTCAAATTTTATTGTAGTGAAAAAAGTGAAATTTCTCATTTTTATGGGCGTGAATTATCAATTACACATTTTCGTTTGTTGTGACTGATAACCCTTAAAAAATGCTTACTCAAGACTCTATGCGGGTACGGTATATTCGCTATATAACACCCTTCAAATTGTTTTGGGATTATGATTTGATAGAGTTCTTAGTTCTCTTTGAAATAATTCATTACTAGATCCTTAAAATTCAAATGATTTGAATGAGATTGATTGATCGAATTAATCTTCTTCATCTGAAAATGTAATATATATAAAACATGTATTTATGTAAAAAAAGTTCAAATTAATGTATAGTTTATAAGTTTTCATCATCAGCATACATACGGTAAAGAACGTTTTCTAGTTGTTCAACAATGATGTTGAATGAGTTGATATGGAAGCGTTCTTTGTTGGATTCTATTTCAACTAAAAGTTCAGTGATTTCATCGCAGACAGGTAACATAATGTCGTCTTCGTGAATTGGACTAAGATAAACACCATCGATCTTGGATTGAATCCATGAAACAAGTTCTGTTTTGTATTGTTTATCACTTTCCTGAGAAAAGATTGGTGTCAGACGGTAGCCACAGTGGAATTGACTTCGCAAGTCGTTAGGAGTACCATCGAAAATCAATGAACCATTACGCATAACAAACATTCGGTTAGAAAGTATACCTGCTTCTTCGATAGAGTGTGTGCTTACAATAGATGTTACGTTGTAGCTAGAAATGGATTTCCAGATTTCTTGGCGGATGTTTGCATCCATACCTGATGTAGGTTCGTCTAATAAAACAAGATATGGGTGACCAATGAATGCGATAGCAACACAGAGTTTACGCTTTTGACCACCACTAAGTGTAGATGCAGACATGTTTTCAAGACCATCTAAACCAAAATGACTAACAATTTGTTCAATATCTTCTTTAAGATGACAAGAGTCGAGACCACGGATAGTTCCGAAAAATTCAAGATGACGATAAACACTCAAGCCTTCGAACAAGATGTTTTCTTGATAACATATTCCTAAGTGTTGCTGCAAAGCACTAAAGCCGGTTGAGCATTGATGGCCATATATTTGAAGAGAACCACGATCACTGCTGATACTTCTTGTAATCGCATTCAACAATGTACTCTTACCAGATCCATTTGGTCCTATCAATGAAACAACATCTCCTTGATTGATAGAAAAAGTTACATTATTGAGTGCATGAACAGGTGGTGAACTTCTATATGTCTTATCAATTTCAATGACATCGATAAATCGGTCACTAACTGCATCTGAAAGATTTTCTCTTCTGAAAGAAAATAATTGTTTCCAAGATGATAAACAAAAAATGTTTGAAAATCCAATTGGAGAAGAACCAAATTTTCTTGGCATCAAAATATTCAATATGAAATAGAGAATTAAATAAGCGCAAATGAAGGCAATTGATATGCCTAATATAATCCATGTGTTCTTCCATCTACTTAATAACATTATATTCTTCATTGAAAATGGCATCGAATAAACCTTTGAAAGCATGATGTTGTCAATAAACATTGTTGACAACCATTGTGGAAGAAATATCATTATTGCAGCATATTCCAATATATTTGACTCATCGAGGATCATTGTGAAATTAATTCCGATTAAAAATGTCAAAATAATGAACAAAACAATAAAATAAACTTTGTATTTCGAAGTTATCGACAAAGGAATTGCACTCAAAAATGAAACATAATAAAGGATGACTAAGAAGAGTACAACATAAAAGATTAAGAAAATATTTGATCCTTTGTATGATTGAATAGATAAAACAATTGAAATTAAGATCGTATCAAAAATTATTACAAGTAAATCGATTGTTATGTTTGCCATGAAAATTGTTGTTTCAAATGCACCTGAGATCTTCAATAAAAGCAGTTGTTTTGTTTCTCGTGCTTCAGATATTTCAAACAATGGAATAATGAAGGAAATGGTAATTCCAAATGCTATTAGCCATTCAATGAAAACATAATTGTATATTGTTCGATGAAAACTTGTCATACCGCAAAAATCGAATTTTCTATTGATATCCGATAACTCTTTTGTGATCTCATTTACAAATGAGTCTGCAAAATCTTCAAAATTATATCTACGAACTCTGCTACCTTTCGAGATTTCGATTTTGGACGTGATATTGTAAAAATATTTTTGCTTATTATCGATAATAATAGATAATATGTTTTCCTTCTTGGAATACTCTTCAAATGCGGTTTTATTATCGAATATTATACTTTTTTCTGAATAATTTGCCAAGAGATGAGTAAGATTAGTTTTTGGATATAATATATAGTTATCAACATTTTTGGCGTAATATTTGAAATCATTAAATTCATGTTGACAAAATTCCCAATAATCAAATTCTTCATAATGGCCATTTGAATCTTTTATACGATAATATGGTTTTGTAGGAATAATAAGGCATAAAAAATATGGCTATTGCGCTGAAAATCATCATTAAATAAAATCCAAGTTTGTGAAAACGGATATCAAGCAATATTTTTAAGTATGCCTTATAAATTTGGAGCTGTCTTGAACGATTTTGGTCTTTCTTTACCAGAGGTTCATCATTAAGGTGATGATTTCTCATTTTGCCAATTTTTGTGATCCAATTGCTCAGAAAAAAAATTGAATGTCTGGCAAATGTCAAAGAAATTTAAAGTTTTAAAAAATCTTATTAAACTAGTGAAAGTACAGCTATTTCCATTTTTTACTTTTCAAAGAGTTCTCACTCAAAATTTTTTCAGATTTTATATTCAAATCTAAAATCACTTTAATTGGATCACTGGCAGATGAATCTGAAGCATACCAAAAACCAACTATCTGGAATCATGTATCGGAGACTGTTAACATACTGGAACTCCAAATTTTCATTCTTAACCAACTTCATCTTTGCTTTGTTTTTTGCTTATCTGGCAATTATTGTAGTATCAATAATAAAAATTGTTATCAAGCCTAATGAAGCTAACACTTTAGAATTTTCTAATTTTCTTCCTACAAATTTAACTTTTGGACGAATTTCAAATAAAAATTGCACGAAATGCGAAGAAATCCAGATGAAATTATCTAATAAATGTGCATTCTTGATTAAGAAAAGGCTCAATACTGAACTCAATTTTATTGATTTTGATACATTTGAAGATTTCAACGATTATCAGTACGAAATAGCCAAAGATCCTCTTAGGTTATCAAACATTCAGCTTGCATTTCAAGTTTATGAAAATTCGACAATATCAAATAAAAATTTAAGGCCAAAAGGGGAAGTTAATATTAGAATTTTATATATTCAAACAACATGGTTTAATAGGCCAGGAAAATTAATTAATAGAGCTATCCTTGAACTAGTATTTGATGAAATTGGAGAAAAAGGTGATGTAGATGTAACATTTACGATAAAAGGAGATCAAAACATTATAACATCAGACAAAATCAAAAGTGCTTATGATATAATTATCCCATATTTTATGCCAATAGCACTTGTAATAATTTCTGCGAATTTTTTACATCGCATAATTCAAGATATCAAAACTCCTGTTCGTGCATACATGTTGTCATGCGGTTTATCAAAAACAATCTATTGGTTAGGTATATTATTGATTGATTCTATGATAATGACGTTTTTTTCAACAATTGTTTTTATTATTTACATTTCATTTGGAATTCAGTCATTCAAGATTTATTACATCAGAGCGTTTCTCTTAAACTGGTTTTGCTCACTACTACCTCTCTTCTATACATATTTTTGGTCTTTCTTCCTGAAAGGATATGCCGGTCCAGTTGTTTTTGCAGTTGTTAACGTTTCAATTTTGATGGCTCAAATGATCTCACCATTTTCTATGTTTCCAGAAGATTTTCATAAAATTTATACTCCAGCAGCATTGATTTGTCCATTTGGAAATTGGTTTGGCGTTTTTTATTCAGTTTCGACGACTATCCAACGCAGTAATCCGAATTTTCCGGAAAATCTAAATTTATTTTTGAAAAGGGAATATGTACTGCAAGATTTGTTCATTTCGATATTTTTATATGTAGTAATTCTTTTTATTGAAGAGTTTTTAATGGATTTGGTTATTAGAATATTTTCGAAGAAATCATTTAAGAAACATTTTGTTGATTTGGAAACATTCAAAAACAGTCAGCAAATAACAGATGAGGCGAAGCAAATGGAGCAACAAGTGAAAGATAATCCGGGGGATTTGCGATCAGGATTTCTAATGTTTCTAAAATATATAAAGACACTCAAGGACAGCCGATCTGTGCTGTTAAACAAGTATCACTGGGAATCAAGAACAAGTCTATCTTCGGTTTCTTGGGTTCTAACGGTGCAGGTAAGACAACACTTATGAAGATGATCTTGAAAGAGACACCTATGTCAAGTGGTACAATCGAAATCGATGGCCAAAACATTTTGACATCTAAACAATCACAAGTTGTTATTTGTCCTCAATTCGATGACCATTTGACAGAACAATTAACAGGTCGTCAGAACATGAAATTCTTCTGCTACTTGTTCAACAAGACAGGTCGCGAGTCACATGAATTGATCTCTCGTCTTATTGATATTATGGATTACTCAGATCAAGTTGACAAACAGGTTAAAAATATGTCCGGTGGTAACCGACGAAAGTGTTCATCAATGATTCCATTTTTGTCAGACTGCAACACAATTCTTCTTGATGAACCAACATCTTCTATGGATCCTATTGCTCGTCATCGCATGCATGACTTGATCAATTCATATAAAGGTCAAAAAACATTCATGTTATGCACACATTTATTAGATGAAGCAGAAACATTATGTGACAACATCTCTATCATGGTTAATGGCTGCATCTTCACCGTTGGCACTCCACAATATTTATCACACAAGTTTGGTACCGAATGGAAGATTGATTTGCTAACATTTGATTCTAAAGGAATCAAAGAAAAAGTCAAAAAATTCATCAATCAACATCTACCTTCTGCCTTTTTGTCTCTTGAAAGGAATGCATCAATGATTTACACTGTTCCGTGTGAACACATTTCAATCACAGAACTATTCCAAATTCTGCAACGAGGTAAGGACAATGATATTGGAATCAAATTCTTCACATGTTCATGCTCAACACTCGAAAAGGTTTTCATGGAAATTGTCATGAAATCAGAAACGAAAACTTCAAGTGAGAATGAGCAGCATGATAAAGTCAATACTAATTTGATTATTGATACGGAAACTAATCCTGAAAATATAGTATAATTTAGTAAAAAATCTTACATATTAATTTAATATTAAAATAAAAAAACTTGAAGTCATATTCTTCGCGTCTGGTTATCAAAATTTGAGGTAATTGAAATCATAAAACATTCCAAATGCTGTTTTGTCACTTGAAAGGAAGGCATCAATGATATATTCAGTTCCAAATGATAGTATTTCAATCACAAATCTTTTTCCAAATTCTTCAGAAAGGTAAAGATACTAATATTGGAATCAAATTCTTCAGAAAGGCAAAGATACTAATATTGGAATCAAATTCTTCATATGCTCATCTTCAACACTTGAGAAAGCTTTCATGAAAATTATCATGATAGTTATCCAAGCATGCACAATTAGTTGAATAAAACTTTAAAGTTTGGTATAGATTTTGATTTTAACTATTGAATTTTGAATAAGTCAATAGATATGAAATGATGCAATGACAATGACAATGTAAATATCGATGGCAATGAAATTTTCATCAAGATACTTGTATTATTCAAGATTTTTTTGCCATTCATTCTGAATTGATTGATTCTTTTATATAATCTTTGTTTTGATTAAGGAGAATTTGATTGTTGGCTTATTTTCAGGTGACGTTATGGTGTATCATATATAGTTGATTTGATTTAATTAAAGACTATGAAATAAATTAATAAGTAAGTAAAATAACAAGAGAATTTTTATTTAGCGAGGACAATTTGGACTTTCTTTTGACTGTTGTCATCATGTGTGATAGTATTAGAGTATTTGGAATGCTTTTCTGAATTATTTGTCAGGTATGAAGAATTCGAGCTTTTTTCTGGTTCTGGCTCTCTCATTAACTGTGAAAGTTCTTCATCAAGTTCTGTTTCGTCAAATGTTACTAAGTTTTCTGATAAAGTTGAAGTTATTTCGTTCAAATTATCGTTAAGATCAATACTATCTGTAATTAGTTTGTCTGCTTGATCAATATCGATAGTATTAATTTGGTTCTTGATCAATTTGTTGTATTGATCAAGAGAACTTAATGGTAACTTATTAATTTCTCCTCTTTCGATATTATTGAGGTGGATGGTCAAGTTATTCTGCATATTATTGTAACTCGACTGCGTGCTCTCGCGTTGTTTAAGAATTCACATTGTATTTAATGCTGCCGAATGTTGACCGTTTCTTTCATATTTAATAGCACGAGTTCTGAGTTCATCGATCTTGTGTTCGTTTTCTTCGATAGATTTTTCAAGCTGCTTGATCATTGACTTACTATTGGAAATAGAAGTTCCTAAATCGATGGAAATGTCTTTATAAGTAGAATTTATAAAGAAATATACATCATCAACTCGTTTTGCTTAGCAATTTTCAATAAGTCCCCATTTGAGAACTGGTAAAGAAACATAAATTGCATATCATTGCAATTCTGTATCATTTAAGACAAAATCTGATATACCCGCACCATTGGTAATAACTTCATGGCTCATCCGCTCGCAAACATTCTTTAAATTGTGTGGAAAAATTATTACTGTGTCATTTGTGATTTATTTTTGCTTTATGAACTTCATAATTCTCTGCAAAATCGATGTTTGATTACAATCTTCTGCTAATTTGCATTGTTTCGTGTAAATTAAATGTTGAATTGTTGGAATAATTGGAGATAATGCCTCTCCCCATACTAAAGATGGTATAATTTTCACATACTCTAACTCAAACAATCTCTGAATCGCGAATCCAACGAGTAAGTATCTCTGTTCAAAAATTAATTTGAGTATCCCATTGTCCTGTATCTACATCTCAATATATTTGAAACGCTCAATATTACAATGTCTTTCTTAGGATTCCAAATGTATTCAAATTTCCAGAAACTACAATTTCTGTAGTTACTAGCCACAAATGGGAAGCAATACACAAATGTCTAGTAGATGGTATTGCTTTTTTTCAAAACATGCAATAACGCAAGATCTATTCTTTAAAACCGATTAATAGTACAAATGTGTTTATTTGCAGGTCAAAGAATCGAATGCTAATTTTATTAATATTACCTCGAAATCACTCTTGCAGTTTTCTTCCATTCTTCGTCTATTAGTCATCGAGTACCTACAAAGTCTAAATCCATTACCAAAATCAAGAAAGCATCGTTACGATTTTGTGGACGCTAACGGGAATTTTAGAAGTTGGCGTCTTGCCCATGTCACGATCCAATTCTAACAACGAAACATTGAAATTTAGTAGAGTTGTCATTTAAACGTATTATAGCTTAGTATTAATATGGCTTTTTCGACATTTGATTTGATAAGTTGAATTTATTATGCAAAAATAAAGGAAGTGTAAGACTGTTATGTGCGTGAGGAACGCAACTATTTGATTTTTACTTAAATATATCGAATAAATTATTTAAGCATTAATGATTTAGGCGAAGTACTTACAGGCATTATACAGACAAGATTATTTAATCAAAATTAATGTTTTATTCTATTCCGTTCAAAATGTTAACCATCCACTGCTTTCTGGGATTGGGATCACCGAAATAATACACTTCTGGAGATTTTCCAATGCGCTGTGTGCCATAGAATGGAACCCAATAATCTCGAATTGCATTATTTAACCTGCGAAGTCGCCATCTATTGTATTGAACCATGCCACGAGTGTCCGGATCCATGATCTTGAAATCTTCAGGTCTTGCATTTTTAACAAAATCTTTTATTTCTTTGAGTTCGTTTTCAGATAATTTTGTTTCTCTGTCTGGAATGTAAACTTCTTCCATTTCCTTTTTGAACGTTTCATAATATCCGAAATCTTTATCTGTTGCAGCTCTGAATTTGAATTGCTTTGCTTTCCATAAAGTTTCAGTACAAAAAGTTTCTAGTACCTCTCCATAATCGTAAGAAACATGAAAGTAAAGGAAATATTCGTGTTTTTGTCTTATAGCTGTCTTGCTAGCAACTTTCTCTTGAACATCTTCTCGAATAAAAGATTCAAAAGAATCAGGATATAATTTCCTTTCAGGGTGCAATCCATACAAATATGGATCGAAGTAGTGCATCACATTCAAGAATATTCGATGACAATATCCTATCGTTGTATATACCTCGCCTTCAGTTCGATTCATTCAAAATTTTGATCAAAAATTTTCAGCTTCTATCGGCGGGCAGCTATATTTGAATGACAATTCAATTTTTTTGAGAGAATTAAACTTTAAAGAATAAATATAATGAGTGTTTTGGCAGAATACGGTGAATATAATCGAAAAGATTTATCTGATATGAAGGTTCAAACATATCAGAAACAGGCAGAAGAACCCTACCCGCAATTCGAAGATTCTTTAGGGTTATTTTTATATAGTCTATGCCAAATACATTTCATATATGATTATAACTATGTGTTTATCTAGAAATGGATTATTTGATGGATATTCAAAAAAATTGAAGATTTGTTTGTTTATCACTACAAAATTAGGATCTCATGACATGCATTAGGCATGAGTACCAATAAAATTATAATGTTTTTGCAAACTATTTCTGTTTATTTTTAAATAATAAATTATCTTTATTACAAGCAATTCATTATATAGTGAGAAACTAATATATAATAAAGAATTGATTTCTTAGTTCAAAAGTAGTTAAACTGTCACTTGTTTGTTGGGAATTATATAATTCTTCTTTTACTTTTCTTTTTGCAAGCTCTTTTCTTGATTTCTTCGCTGCTCTGTCTTTGTCGCTTAAAATTTGAGCTGCTCGCCATTTTGATATCACAAATCTCTTCTGAACATTTTCTAATGAAGCTGTGGAGCTGGTGATTGTAATTTATATGATAAAATCGCCCTTTTAGCTAAAAGAACATGCTCAGTTACTGGAGTTTTCCAAAGATGTGAATTGGTAAATTGAAATAATTAATTTCTACTGTATTTAATGCGTTTATTTTGACATCTTGATTAATTGCATATGCGCTCTCTAATAAATGTTGATATACTAGCCATGTAACGTAAACGTGTTTTGGAATTTCGCTCAATTCCAAACTAATAGCATTGGAAACTTTTCATTCTTCTGTTTCCCAGTAAATAGCTTCTAAATATGTTCGGTGTAATTTAAGAATGTAGTTATTTAATGATTTTAAATTATATTTAAACTGAAGTACAAGTTTTGTGCATGGAATGTGTTTAGACATTTGATGGGAAATTAACTTGTTTTAGTCATCAAATATAGATCATGTTTTTTTATGGAGTAATAAACCGAAAAAAAAAATAAATAAATTTAGAATGTTTAAAAAAAATCGTTTTCCTGATGAAGCCGATATTCTGGAAAAGCTTGAACGCGTTCAGGATATACCTAATACGACAAGAGAGCTCACTGAAGCGATTCTTGAGCTAAGAAATACACCATTTACTGAATTAAATAGACAACAGAAAGAATTCGTTACTGACACACTTCCCGATGTATTCAAAGACATTGTTGGTCTTAATAAACCCTCAAAAAAGATCAACATGGAAATAAATATCTTTACAGAAGCTTATCTCAAATTAACGTCGGAATACAACTTGAACATTGACATGATTCATGTTATTGGAAAAATTTTTGACAAGCAAATGAGAGAGTTTAAGCTGAGAATGATCGGAGAAGTTACTGCAGGAACAAAAGAAAAATTTTTGAATTTTTCGCCAGAATTCGAATACTTACTTCCAGCAGAAAAAAGACCACACTGCAATCAAACAGTGAAAGAAATCATCAACCAATTGTTCACAGCTGGCATTGTTGCAAAAATGTTTGAAAACATCTCAAATCAAACTACAAAACCAGAAATATTCGCGGAATTCTTAACAATATACTCAGGAATCGAGTCCTCACTTGTCGATGAAGCCATAAGTATAATGCTTCCAATTATATTCGAAGAAATAATGCGTTTACTCGATGTACAACAGACAGATTTCTCTGGTCTCTGCAGTTTCCTCGCGAAGCATTTCAGAGCTAGCAGCTTTTACGCGTCAAGAATCATTGAAACTCTTTGTAAAATGTCGGAAGTCGGAAATTTCAGCAAGAGGAACGAAGTTGTTGGGGAAATTATTGAAATAGCCAGCTACCCGGTCAACCAGCCTCTTGTAGCTGAAAATGCAGAAATAATCAAGAAAACATTTATCGATGCAATTAATATCAACCAAAACCAAATTATTTTAAATCAGATTTACAATTTCCTACCAAAATTTTCCGAAATTTGCTCGTTTTCTGTTGAAGATATCGAGTCAACCATAGAAAAGTCACAGGGATCATGTCCGACGTCAATGATTATGGATATAATACCTAATTTACAAGACGCTCATCTCGATAAATTTACTACATTCTTAATTACAAACAAATACTTTTATCCAGACTTATTTTCAAGCCTTATGAACAGAATTCGTGGACCATCATGCCGTAAATTACTCAGTTATATGCTGGAAAACAAGGAAATGCTTCAAAAAGTAGGTTTAGAAGGTTTTAAAATGACTCCAAATATTAAAACGTATATAGCTGAAATTGAACCTAATACTCCAGAAATAATCGAAAGTTTAAGTCTTTTCTACATCAAATCTCCAAGAATTGAGCAATTCCACGACTTTATTATGGCAACAATCAATATGATACCGCAAAACCCATCATTAATCAATGTTTTAATGAATTTTACAGAAACAATGACCAAATTCGATTCAGAAGGGACAATCTGCGATGTTTTTAACTTCTTTTTCAACAAATTTATGGAAGAAGGCTCAGATTCATGGGCTGTTTCACTTTTACCGATCATTACAGCATGGATAGGTGAAGTTAACAGGGTTCCTTCCCATTTCTTCTTCGAAAAGTTCAAGCAATTGAATTATGAAAATTGTCCAAACGTAATTCCTTCACTTTTCAACATAGTTGTTGCAAAATCAGATGACCAAACAGGAGTTATCGATCTCCTATTCAATATCATCAGCAACGACGTCCCAATTCGCCATGTTCACTGGGCAATTTCCGAAATCTTCAGTCTGATCAAGGATAACGCCGAACAAGTAGCAAATGCATGTTCCATGATACTCGCCAAGCCAAGCGAAAGCCATTTCAGAATGATTTTCGAAGCTGCAAAATTTGAAGCAGATTATTTTCGGTTGGAAGACACAAATTTCGGTGTAAAACAGAAAGTTGTCATCAAAGAGAACAACGCAGAGTTCTATGTCTCATTCACTCCCATTCATTCCTCAAGAAGATTGTATGCGGCCGTTGCAAACCACTCTGACATACCAATTGACGAACTCCTGCTATGGAACGCGGACCCTCTGAACGAGTTCGTAATCCCATTTGGTTGTCCGCTCACTTCACTTCACTTATCTTCCACAGAAACACTATTTGTATCCATAGAAAAGACGAAAGACAAGATTTTACATCAGGCCAAGTACGAACCACATTTCCTTACTTGTCTTTCTTCGCCAGAAAAATCCGAAATTTTGGCAAATCTTCTTTCTCAGTCCCACAACATCCAGTTATTCAGAGTTGCAGAGCTCATTGATCCCTCAAACATCCCCGTTATCAATGATGTCCTCATCAACCTTCTTCACGGTGAGATTTCCGATATCTCAGATTTTGTCAACGAATATCTTCCTCTTTTCCCTGCTGCATTGAATGCATTAGTAGAATCTGGCAAGGCAACACCTTCTGACATAGAAAGTTCCGCTACTTTCATTGCAGAACACACTTTTGACTCTGTTTCAACAGCAATTTGCTGCGACGCATTGATCAAAAGTCCGATCAAAATAAAAGTGTCACGTGAAGTGGCCGAACTGATTATTTTGAAGGCAGAAGACAGCAGGATCCGAGAGATGGCAATAAACATCATTGGCGAAGTCGATGACAACTTATTGATACATTTAATAGAGTTGTCAACGAAATTGGAATACAGAAGTCATTCCAATCAATTGTACAGATTTATTAAGACATATGAACTGTCACATACAATCTTCGAGTCATTCTATGATGATTTAGTGCAGTTCGAGATGTCATCTGTCTGGGATATCGATGAAACATTCATTGGATTGTTGGATTACATCGAAGTCAATGAGAAAACAATTAAAACAACATTCAATCGATTGTTTACACAGCCAACATGCGTCTGTTTCATGACTCCCTTCTTGCAAACTCATGAATCAAGAACAGCTGCTTATAATTTCTTAAAAGATCCAAAGGCGTTGCCTCATATTTCTGCTTTCCTCCAAAAATTGAAATCAACCCCTAATTATCTTGTCACTTTTTCAGATGACTTCACTCCGAAAGGACGATTAGGATTACTCAATTTCAGCACAACATGTTATATCAATGCCGTGCTCCAGAATATGATAGCAATGCCAAATGTTTTGGCTCCGATTTTGGATCTTCCTGCCAACGGTTTGACACCTTTTGTCATGGAATTGAGAAAGTTACTGGCTTTGATTCGTTACGGGCGTGGAACACCATTAAACATTACTCATTTTACAGAAACAGTACCAGAATTTGAGCCAAATTTGCAGCAAGATGCACATGAATTCTTTGATTTAGTAATAAACAAACTGACGAAAGAAATTCCAGATCCAGAAGTAATAAATCAACAATTATGCGGAAAAATAATGAACGAAATTTGTAATTCAAAAACTGGAGAAGTTTTGACATCAAATGAAGAGTCATTTTATTATTTGACACTAGCGATAAAAGGACTGAAAAACATTGTCCAAACCTTCGAAAAGTTCTTTGAAGACTCAGAGATATCAGGCGGCTACAGAATAGACAGCGGAGAATACGTACAAGCCGTAAGAAGAAACAGAGTTGTTACATGGCCAAACTATTTAGTTTTGCAGTTACAAAGATGGGATTACGCGTATTTATCAAGAGAAAGAAGTAAATTGACACAAGAACTCCAATTTCCTGTAGAAATAACTCCTCCTTCTTGTGCAGATAAATACCAATTGACAGGAGTTATTGTTCACGAGGGAGAAGCAGACAGCGGACACTACATGGCAATAGTAAGAAACGAGACAGGAAATGATTGGTATTTCTGCAACGACCAAGACATTGTAAACTTTGATCCGGCCAATTTAGGACCATGGTGTTTTGGCGGAGAACCAAAACCAGGGGATTCTGTTTGGACAGGTTATTTGTTGTTCTACAAGAAGATAGGAATGCAAGAAGTGTTTATGCCAGAAGTAAATCCTGATTTGCAATTAATTGTTGATGAATACAATGATTCTTATTGGCCTGCACAATGTTTGTATTCCTTCCAATACATAAAATACGTGGAAGAACTCATCATGGCTAAGGAACAGACAGAAACAACTTTGGATATAATTTACAGAACATTGATGAGAGTAATTCTAATCAATGAAGAAAGTTTGCAAAGATGGACTGATTTATTGACAAAGAATATTTTGACAAATGTCAAAAATTGTCAGATTTTCTTCAATTATGTCAAATTACTTTTTGGGCCAAATCTTCCTGCCGCAATTTCTATCACTGATGCCGTTGTTGATAACTTCAGAATTCTTGTACAAACAGCTATGTCTGTTATGTCAGATACAACAGAGCATTTGCAGATGCTTCTGCAAGGAATCGATTACGGATCACATAAAAGAGCAATGGTATTTGCATTGGACATCATTGCTTATTGCTGTGATAACTTGGCTGTTGATTGGTCGCGTGAAGAAAGTGCTTTGTTCTTGATGGCAGTTCTTTTGACAATGGAAATACAAAAAGAAGTGCAAAGATCAACAGGAACAAAGCATTTCCAAGCATTCGATTCTTTGGCAAAAGTCATGTGCGATGCCGTGAAATCAACAGGAGCAACAGAAGCAATGGCAACATTCTTGGATGTGAATACATTAAATAGAATTGTTGACAACTTGAAAATGTCAAATAATTTCATGACATTTTTAGCTTTGTTGGCAAATACAAGACCTGATTTGTTGGAGCATTTAATTGATGCTTCTCCTCGTGTACAAACAATTGTCAACTCAGCAATTCCAATACAAATTGGAGGAACAAACGAAATTGCTATGACAATTGATTTGTCATTTTATTTCTCTCACGGTTCTGATTTCATTTTCTCCGTTCATCCTTCGATCCGCAATAGAACTTATGAAACATTTAAACTATTGATCGGATCCCCAGAACCTCACATCGACCATTACTTCCACACAAGACCTTATGATCCTTCAATTCCTGTTCCAAAAGTGACAGCGGAATCATCATTCACGCATTACATCATTTCCTTGAGTGATGACTTTTTGCAAGTCATACAACAAGATGCAATGAGAGGTTGTGAATATGTCTGCTTATTGCAGTCTGTTGTAGGAATTGCTCCGATGTCTACAAAACCATTATTTAATAAATTGATTGGTCCGATAATTGCTGACAAATCAGGAGATTTGTTGGAGTTGTTTATGCCTGTTATTCATCATTTGGTCGCTTTTGATCCTGATATCCTCATTACAATAAATGAAGAAGAGCGTGAGGTATTCAGGAACATGGCACAACCAACAATTATGGACGTAGAATTGGTTTTGATGGCTCCAAATGTTTTCGCTGGATCTTGGTTGTTGAGCGAATGCGTCGATTTCGTTTTGACTCAGTTGACACAGACAGAGGCATGCGATAGATTGATTAGCCTACTGAAGGAAATAGGATGCCAGGTGAGATGTCCGAAAGAGGCAAAAGATAAATGGGTACTTTGGCCTGCGTTGCAATTATGGGAAATTGGTTGCTGCGATAAAAATGATTTGGCTTTGTTTATTGTCAGCGCACTGAAGAAAGCACAACCTGCGGCTTTGTGCAAGAGAATGAAGATTGTGCAGAAAGCAATAGAAACTGTTAAGGAATTTAAGCCGGAACTTATTGACGAATCTGTTATTAATTTGTAAATATATTATGAATGTTTAAAAAATTTTCTTGTTTATATTTTTATTAAATTACAAAGAATACTTTTATTTCAAACAATTTTAATAAGAAGATACATTAATTTCCAGTATACAGTTGACTTTTATCTCCATCATTATATGTTAAAAACGTCATGTGTTTAATTTTTAGTGGGCTCTAAAATTCCTTTTTTCTAAGGATACAGAATTGCTATCATTCATTGGAAATATATTCACTATATGCACTAGTCCTTGTATGGACATACTGTCATATACAGATTTTAATTAAACCTTTTAGATGGCAAGATACTGACACTCAAAATTTCCTATAAATACATTTTTTTTTCCAATATTTCAAAAATAATTTTATAAGATGAAAAATTAAGAAAATTTAGTTGAAAATCTTTAAAATCATAGAAATTTAGAAAATTCGAAAAATTAAAACGAATAATCAGTTTTATTTTTCAAATACAATATTTTCTTCTCAATAAGAAAGCGTTATTACCATAAATTTGAAAAAATTAAAAGTCACTTTTTATTGATGACGTCTTCAGGAACAACTTCTAAGGCGTTCATCAATAATGCAGGCCCAAATTTCATCCAATCACGCATAATTGATGGAGAAAATACATCAGATCCACTTTATGGGGATTGGCTTCATAATGAATTTTTAGTTTCAATTCATCCACCAAATTATCCACCAGAACCAGTAGATTTCCCAGCATTAACATTCACAACACAAGGAATTGTCGTTATGTGCATACCAAACTTACTCCAACCTCCTCATTTAAGAGGAACAAATTCTGTTTATTGTTGGTCTAAAACCAGCACAGAATCAACATCAAATCCGCAACAAGAAATTGCGAAAGCAATTGTCACACAATACCAACAATGCATGCCGAAAATGGCTTTAGCAGCAAGAGTTAATCCGACTATCAATGATTTCAAGAATTCTCTTTCTAAAATCAAGCTCCAAAACTCATCAGTTCGAACCCTCTTCCATTATGCTTCACATGGAGGCCCAGATGTTTCATCTCAATACATAATGTTGCATTCCCCAGACAAACAATCATTTGATCACTTCCCTATCGAGAGTGTTCTCACCGCTACAGATTCCTGCAGCGTTCACATACTAGATTGTGACAATGCCGGTGCATTAATCAACGCATACAGATCATTTATCTCAGACAAAGCAGATTCAGGTATAAAGATGGATCTTTTCGCATTCTTTGCATGTGGAAGTCGCGAAAGATTACCAAGATCCCCAGATTTACCTCATGATGTCTTTACTTCTTGTATGACAACTCCTGCTCGCATTGCATTACTCTGGCATTCTCGCCATTACTACTGCTTTAAGAATGGACCACTCCGACCACTAAATACAGACCTTTTCAAGTCATCTCCAAATAGTATTTTGGATGACATCAGTTTAATACTCCACAGACTTGTAGAAGCCATGGCATTCGAAGTATTCCCTCCAGATCTCTTCATGAGAGTCTTCAGAACTGATTCTTCCATTGCACATTTAGCAGCAAACTATTTTCTCGCTTGTAGGATGCTTTCTTTCTTTGGAGTCCAACCGAAATCGATTCCAGAGATGCCAGATGTCTCAAATCATTCATTATGGCATACTTTTGACCTCAGATTAGATGTTGCTTTACAGCAGCTTCATTCTCCAGCTCCAGACCCCTCATTATCATACACAGTGTTCTTAGAACAATCCCTCAAAACTCTCAAGCATCTAATGAACGTTTCAACAAAAGATATTTCATTTCCTGGCCAATTAACTTTAATTCCGCCAGCTCTTACAACGCCATCGCTACAAGCGGAAGGTAGTAAAGTACTCGCATTATACATCGATAAAAGTATCTCAGCTGTCAGACAAATGTGGTATTTCCCGATTGCAGTACCTCTTTTCCAAATGCTGACCTCTCCATCGTGTAATGAATATTTATTGCTTGCTGTTGCCAAAACCTTATGCTTTATGCCTTCAGCCAGAGCGATTCTTCGAGAAATCAGCAAAGAAACATTCAAAACAGTTCTTTCTCCTTTGCTGAAACAAGAGAACTCAGTCTTCGCTCTTGTCATCGCTACCATTTACCATTTCGAGAATAATGAGGCCATTTCCCAATTAGTACAAAATGATTGGTCATCTACAATCTTGTCACTTTTTGATGATTCCCATACAGATGTACGGTTATGGACATTATTATTTGTAGCAACATTTGTGAATTACATACCGGATAGAGATCTTATGATGAAGACTGCTGCAAAAATAACTAATTTGTCCTCAGATTATTCGCCAGAAGTCAGAATTGCCAGTTTACATGCACTATGTTCGCTAATCAAGTGCGATATCGAAACAGAAATAGTTAAAGTTGCAAAAGAGTTGGTTCATGACCCCAATTCTTCAGTAAGATGCGAATTAATAATTTTACTTTCTAATGCGACAAAAGCAAATCCGAAATTACTTGAGAACAAGGATGTACAGTTGTCACTCGTTGAATTGGCTTGCGATCCCCATCCTTTGGTGAAGAGATTAATGGAAAACTTCACACAGTCAGTTTATCCATCATTTATACTTCAGTGGTTCTCAAGGGCCATTCTAAGCCCTATAAAATCACTCCTTACCGATGATAAACTTAGATTATCCAATGTTCAGCCAACAATTTCGCTTCCTGCTCGTCAGCCAAACAAATCTATGATTACAATTGGCAGAGCAACATCATTCCGACTCTTACAAACTCATTCAGTCTGTTCTTCGAACTTTACATCTTTATTTGACGGAAATGCTGCTTTATTTGGCTCCAACTCCGGCGAAATCGTTTATGCCCAATGGGATGCCAATGTACAACGAAGCGTTCGCATTTCCAACAAACAGATTAAGCATGTTCAGTGTATTTCAAATTCTGGCTATCCTCTGATTATTTCTTCTGATTCCCACAGTAATTTACGTTTCCTTAACTCCGATTTACAGACCATAACCGCATTCAAACTCAACCAGAACCACTCTTTGTTCGAATTTCTCGAATCTGACAGAAAACTTTTGACATTTTCAACTTTACAAAAAAATATTTTGGTTTATGACATGAAAAGTGAGAAAATAAGCCAAACTATCGATTCAATCGGTGACAACATACAGTGCGTGAGGGCTCTCAACCACTTGAACGATGTTGTCGCTGTTGTTTCCGATAAAAAACTCAATTTCGTAGATTTGAGAACAAATTCGAACGTAATTTCTTCGCCCGACGGTTTGTCACTTTTTGACGTGGCCCAACTTGACAAGAGTGCAAATTTGTTTGCAATTGCACACAAATGCGGTACTGTATCCCTTTTCGATGCAAGATTTAACGAACCAATAAAAAGATATCAGGCATCTCCTGAATCTTCACCGATTTTATCATTTGCAGTACAGTCTGAGTCTGGTGCTTGCGCAATAGGGTCTTCCAAAGGGGTCTGCGTCATAGATATCCTCGGCGGAAAGAGAATTGAATACAATTCTGTTCCATCTCTTTTGTTTTCAAGGAATTTAGAGGCTGTTAACGCTTGCTGCTTCTCACCTACTAAATTTTCTCTTGCTGTACTCCAGGGACAATCTGATATCTTATTCTTGGATGATGCATCGTAGAATAACACTTAATTGGCTAAGTGAATTTGATGTCATTAAATTCACCATACTTTTAAGTGTTTTTTTGCAAAATTTAATTTTATATTTTTTTTATTTCATTTTGTTATTTAATAAATTAGTATATTAGTCATATAAACTATCAACATTACATAAAAATTCAGAATATATCTTATTCATTTGGAAAATCTTTTAATATACTATATTCTAGAGTAGATTTCGCATATAATTATTGACTTGTGCATGATATAATGAATACAGGAAGAAACATCAAGATCAATTTTTTTTGAAAGATAAAGTCGTCACTTTTCGAAAACTCCGTTATTTGATGTCTAACACGCGCCCAGTCGTTTTTATCCATCCTAAAGGAACATGCAAAGCGCAACCTTTCTATTTCAGAGGTGATGATGTTCTTAAAGAGCCTGAATACTTAGAAAAAGAAAAACAAGATATAAAGAAAACGTTTCGCGAAGTTAAGAAAGAATTAGAGAAGCAGAAGAAAATATATGATGACACAAACGCTGAACATCAAAAAACTGACAATCTTACCTTTGCATTAGCAACAGCTCTTGGAGATGAGTCAGATTCAACGAATACAAACGCGCAGCTCAGACATCGATTAGCTGAACTCACCACAGAAATTGAAGGCAAGGAAAGAGCAATTACAAAGTTAAAAGCTATGCAGCAATCAGCCGTTATTTCAACTTATCTAAAAGAGAGAGCATTTTACGAATCAGAAATCGAAGACCTTCGCATTGAAATTAATACTGGAATCGATCGTATGAAAGAAGGAAAGAAAAACTTGGCAAAAGTTGTTTGTTCGGATGATTACGCTACATCATGCATTGCTCTTGGTATATTAAAAGCCAAGAAGGCATATCACAATCAGCTTCGCAAGGATCTTACTTATCGTATTTACAATCTTAATAAGAAACAAGGATCTGGCATTTTCAGGTCAAATCCACCAAAACTTCCTTTCGAAATCGAAAATCTTTGCGATATGGAGCAAAAGCTCAAAGCCCAGTATAATACAATCCATCGCGAATGCTTTAATAAGATTATGGTCGCTCAAGAGTCCGCTTTTGCCATGATTGATCAAATAGAGCGTATGAATGAAGTCCTTGTAGCTCTTGGAGGACCAAAATACGACGTAGAAGCCCTCCGCGAGAAGTATACAAACATGCAATTTGATGCTGCACCAGGAGAAGAAAATGACAACTTAGAAGAGGAAGAAGAGGAAGACACAAATGATAAGGATGAAGAGAAACACGAGGAGGAAGAAGAAAAAGTTGAAATTAACGATGATAACATCGAAGAAGAGGAAAAGAAGGAAGAAGAAGGCCATAAAGATAAAGATGATGAACAGAAACCAGAAGAACACCTTGAAGAAGAGGAAACTAAAACGGATGAAAAAGATATCAAAGTTAATGAGGAAGAAGAAAAGAAAGAGGAAGAAAATGATCATGCAGAAGAAGAGGAAAAGAATGAATCTAAAGAGAAATCACCAGAAGAAGAAGAAAAGAAAGAGGAGGAAGATAAACCAGTAACTACTCAAAGTTTCATCGCAAATTTGATTCAAGATAAACTTGAAGCTGATGGAGTTAAAGAAACTGATTGAAATCAGTGAAAATAACGAAATATATTGTTTGTGAAAAGAATTATTTTTCTATTATTTTAAACTATTGTCTTTAATTTTTTTTTCTTTCATGGAATAAATAGGTATCTCATAGAAGTACTACGACCATAAATTAAAGAGCTACTGGCTTATACTTTGACTATAAATACTATGTATCCGTAGTGATTTACTGGCATTCTACAGCACTTCAATGACTACTTTTTGTTTTCGATTATATAGCATTTTAGCAAATATTAGTCACTTTTACGGTTTTTATTTGGGGCGAGCTTGCGAGCCCCAATTAAAAACAGTAAAATGAGCTCACATTTTGAAACAAATTTAGGGACTTTTTGATTGAAAATGCAAAAGTGACTAAACTTTTCCGAAATATTTGATTTCAGTATTAAATGATATTTCATTATATTTAATAAATATAATTTAACAGCACTATTGTTTTTTAAAGTTAAAATTAAACTTAATTATTAATAAACAAATTAATTTTTTTTTCGATAATCTCTACTGGAGTTGACCTTGATATATCCATTGAAATTTTCAACTGGATATGTTCCGAGTCTGTCTAAACCCAAGTTTGAATACTTTTGAGATTTGAGAATGGCAATGGTTGAAAAAAGTGTAACTATTAATCTATTAAAATGAGTTTCCGGAAGAAATGTAAGAAATTGTGCATTTTCTGAATTCTTACTGTATTTGTTAAATTTCTGTAATACTCTAATAACTTCGAATGGGTCGATCATTTCTTTCTCAAGTAATTCCTCAACATTCTTTGTAATTGCTTTTGCACGTTCGTAAGCTTGGCTATCTGCAAATCGGAAAGGATGTCAGATTCGGCTAAATAGTCCCGCTCAGCACGATACCATATTCGAATGAGTGTGATTTTCTTTAGACACCAAAAATGGCATCCTCATCCTTATAAATGGATGAAACTCTATCGCTCTGGTAATGATTTGACAAATTGTATCAATGAAAGTCATTTCCAACAACTGAAATATGCATTCTTTTTGGAGTAAAAAGAACTTATGTGTTGATGACTTCTTCCACATCCTTGTTGATGAAATTTTCCCACATATCTTTTGAAAGTTAAGGTTGCAAATTCAAATCCCCAAAAGAACGATTGAGGAGATTGTTATCAAAAGCAAAAGAATAAATAGAGATACAAAAAGCGCAAACAATACAAATATGGATAGTTTTACTGCAATATGGCTAAAATTGCTGGCAATGTCAACAATTTCCAGTAATATTTAGCCACTTTGACATTTAATTAATATAATTATATTTCCAATATTTTATGTTATATATTATATATTTATTATGCTTTTATAAAAAAATCTTTACAAATTATGAAGTGTCAAAAGTGAACTGAGACCTTTTTCATGCTTTATATTTCATTAATTTTATATCATACCTAAAAGTTCCTTTGAAAAATGACAGTTAGTGTCAAAATTTAATTTTATGGGTTTTCTTAAAAATTAGTTTTGTTCAAAAATAGTTTGGCGACGAAAATATTTTCCCATAACCTGATAAAATAACTACAACAAAGCCTTATGTTTGGCGACATAATTTGAAAATTTAAGATTTAAAATCAAAATCAAATCAAAAATTTTTATATTTTTATCATCTAATATGAGAAAAATATATTGGTATGTTTTCACGATCGATAATTATCTCATTTATTTCATCTCCTGCTTTTACTGAAAGGTGAATTCCAACTGTATATGGCTTTTTAATGATATCTTTTTCTTTATCACCTCTTAAATTTTTGAAGCGAAGTTGATAATCGTATCTTCCATATCTTGAAAAAATTTATCCCAACTCAATCAATCACATGTTTCCAGTTGTTTCTATTATGTGCAATGATAAAAGGTGTGAAGTAGGAAACAAAGAATTGAAATTCTTTTATCAATTTATCTTTCATGAACTGAAATATTTCTTCAATAATATTCCAACGTGTTGGATTAAAGCATGGCAAATTGTATGAATAATTTGGAATATATTCGAATAATTTGTGAGTATACTTTGGTAAACATCATACGATTCCAGGATATATCAAAAATATTTTGCACAATGTCATTTACATTTACACTTTCCTTATCATGAGCAGATTTAAGATATCCATATTCATTAATTAAATATTGAATTATAAATTTTTTCTGCTTTTAAAATTATCGTTGGAGTATATGAAATTGATAAAAACAAGTTACAATGGCTGTGAATAAAGTTTATGTTTTCTAATTTTAATGATTTTGATATAAAATTAAATACAATGTCAAGAATGATTGTTGTGAACGCATATGTGGGAAGTGAAGTGTCGCTTTTGGTTTCATATTGAGAGCACTTTTGAGATAATAATGAAAAAAAAATAAAAATTCAGTTTCATATTTTCATATTTTAATCCTTTTATTTTTTTACTAAAATATGTTAATTGAATGATATTAAATAAATTATATTTTACATAAACATTTATCTCAAAAGTGTTCTCAAAACTTGAAAATTTACTAATTTTTATTATCTAAATACTTCAAATGATTCTTATAATTTCTAATGAACTTCCTTCAATTTTCATAGAAAAACGATCATATTTTGAAAAAATGTAAACCAAAAAGTGACACTTCACTTCCCACATCTGAATTCACAACAATTTTTTGACATTTGAAAATACTTTTCGCATTTGGGCAATAATCAGTTTGCATAAGACGCTGTAAAACTGCGAAATAGTCATCAACTGACCGGCAAATTATTTTCCTTTAAATAATGACAAAACGAAAACAAAATGTTTCTTAAAGAGAGATAAGTTGCTCTGGGATTCTCAGTTCTGAAAGCTTGAACAGAATTTAAAAACTTCATCTGCGTATTGTTCGATATTGGGACAATTGGTTTTCATTTTTTGATAAAGATCTTCTTTTTAAAAAAATTAATAAAAGTAATTGATTATTAATTGTATATTTACATTTACTTGGAATAAGAATCATCACATTTCCTGGACAATGTACTCACGTATTACAACCTTTTGATTCTTTAACCGCTGTAAATTTAAAAAAAAATATTCGTTATTTCAAAATTTTAGCTTAATATACCAAAAAGCTCAATTATTAACCACAAATATTGCAAAAGTATGTTATTTAATTTGTAGAATTATGTTGATGCATGATATGCAGTAAATAAATCAATTCTCAAAGAAAGTTTTGAAATTGCGGAATGTTCCGTACCGAAATGCATCACTAGAAAAAGTGACAACAAGTGACAATTACTCTTATTTTGCGCGGCAATTTTTCTAAGTTATTTTGTTAAGCTAAATGTGTTATATATCAAATCAGCTTTATAAATATTATAGAAAAGTTTATTTTTATTTTTATTTTTAATTATTATTATTATTATTTTTTAAATTAAAAGAAAACATTAGAATTATATGGATATATTTAAATTAATTATAAAAATAAAATTGAATATATTGAAGTTTGAGTTTATAGGTATACAAATTTTAGAGGCATTTTGGCTGAGAACTATGGTCTGCGAGGTACATAGATAGAATCAGTACCTCGCAGACTATAGTTCTCTATATGGCGCCGAAAATTTTTGGTGAAATGTCGTCGCATTTCACCAAAATTTTCTCGACGCCATAGGAAGAATTGGAGGATGTGAGATACTATTACATGCTATAGTACTCACACCCTCCAATTCTTAGCCAAAACGGCTAAAAATTGCTCACAATTTCAACAATTGTGAGCAATTTTCAGCCATTTTGGCTGAGAACTATGGTCTGCGAGGTACATGGATAGAATCAGTACCTTGCAGACTATAGTTCTCTATATGGCGTCGAGAAATTTTGATAAAATGTCGTCGCATTTCACCAAAAATTTTTCGGCGCCATAGGAAGAATTGGAGGGTGTGAGATACTATTACATGCTATAGTACTCACACCCTCCAATTCTTAGCCAAAACGGCTAAAAATTGCTCACAATTTCAACAATTGTGAGCAATTTTCAGCCATTTTGGCTGAGAACTATGGTCTGCGAGGTACATGGATAGAATCAGTACCTTGCAGACTATAGTTCTCTATATGGCGCCCAAAAAATTTATGATTGTTTTTTATCAAATCTTATCCATATTATTCTATAAATGTTAATTATATTTTATCAATTATATTTTTTAAATAATAAACACAAAATCCACTAATTTAAAATTGGATTTGCGCAGTGATGCATTTCGGTATGATATATTTTGAAATTGCGGAATGTACCCTTGAAATCCTCAAAAAGCATTAAATAACGATTGCGCTCAAAAACACACTCAAAAATATGATAGTAATAAAAGAAAGATGTTTATTTTCATTACTCCTTCAATTTATACATAGTTTTTTTTGCAAAAATCTAGGCATGATTCCTGAATCTGTTTAATTTTTTGCGCTCGTATTCGAAATTGATTTTTTGCCTTCCAGCGTTTGATATTTTTATACACAAACAAGCAACATAATGTTCCTTGTGAATCTGAATATAATCGTCAAATTCGTAAGATGGCACCACGAATTTCAGATTTACAGAATGAATTTATATTAAAACAAAGACAAACAATGAAAAAAGGGACATATATCAGCACAGATGGACATTCTAATACAGGAATGAATTCTTCAGCTTGTCAAACTTTCCTCATGGACAATAGGGTAAAAGTGGTTGCTCAATACACCGTCAGAAAGAAGAGTGCAGGTGGTGACTTTGAAGGAACTTCAACTAATATGGAATCAGAATGCAGTCGGCGCGGGTTGAAAGGAAATGATTTAACGGATGCTTTATGCATTGTACATGATAACAATAACAATCCCCTCTCAAGCAGGGGTGAGGGAGCGTACGTTAGGAACAAAATCCTGAAGGGGCGTGTAGAGCGGCGCAACCGCGGTGGGCGGACATTTTTTGCATACTATATTTTGACATGTCAAAGATAAGTTCTCAAATCTCATTTGACACGTGACAAAAGTATTTAGTGTTGATTTTTTGATGTTTGGCAAAAACTCTCTATTTAAATCTGACATAAAGCTGAAAAGTATGAAATTCATATGTAAATTGGGACAATAAATCTTTTCCGAGATGAATAACAACACCTATCTCGTCTAAACCTTCTTCATTGTCGAGAACTATGAGATAAATAAGGCATCAATTGTAGAATTCATCTGCAAATGAAATGTCTGCAGGCGCGTTATAAGAATGAATGTTTCTTTATCTCCGTATTCATCTGATAGTTCGTACTGGTCATAACCATTGTTTTAAGTGAGGCGGAAGACGTAAACATGGTATTAATCTTCAAACATACCAGCAAACCAAAACTTCAACTATCTTATCATGATAAATCATGTTCGTGTTAGATCAAATGCTGGAAAATATGCAGATCTGATCAATGAAAAACTTTCTGTTCAAGCATCCCATCATAGAATTTTATGTAAAGCCACAAAACTGTATGGTGGATATTATAGAATGAGATAGAACGGTTATTTTACAAAACCGACACCATGACAGAATAGTTTTTTGTACTGAATAAAAAGTGTCATATAAACATCTGACAGAAAACTCTTCTTTGTTTAAGAAAGGTGTAATTGAGTAGAGCATCACAAGAATCCTCTGTAATTTTGTTGAATTGGGATGAATGCTTTTAGATTTTCTTAGTATGCATTGCTAAAGCTGAGAATAGCAGCCCACAACACATGCATTGGCTAGAACTCTTTATTACTGAAATCAAAGCTTTTTCGAAATCCAAGTGAGTTGTTGCTAATTTTGGAAAAGTGATATTTTTTGATTCAATGTATTTGAATACATGTCAATATGACTCGATTGTTCTATTCTTCATAAAAATAAATAAATTCGGAAGATATTGCTTAGAATTTGGTTCAATAGTCATTATCGTTAACATTTGGCCTTTTTGGAAAATCTCTCTGTGAGATTTTGAATGTACCATCCATAAAAAACTCATTGGCTTCTTGTGCTAATTTTCTGGCCTTTTCAAAACCAATGACCACAATCCCAATTTTTGGATCGCGGTCATGTCCAATAAAGAATTGATCGTTGTTTTTCATGCAAAATTCATATTTCATAGATATTAAAGTTTTGGGGATCTGCGAATTGGGGAATGATTCCAATTTTTCCGAAAAATAAAATCTGACATTAATGAGGGAAACGCCAAAGAACATTTTATTAATTTGTGTAATTCCAAATACAAAGATATTAATCATACCTCAATATTATACTGTGACCAATTCACTGTCCGATTTTAATTTTTCGGACTTTTTGGCATTATTTCTCATTTTCCCTAATTATAAATATTACGTCGAAAAATGCAAAAATTATCAACTAGAAAAACCATTAATGGATGTATTTTGTGAAATGGAATTTAATGGAGAATCAGATGTAAATCGTATTGATTGGAGTAATGATCCGCACAAATTTATAATGCAAATTTTAGACAGAAATCGTGTAGTCAATAACTCATTTGTCAAAGAATTAGTGATTATTCTCACTAATTTAAGCTAAACATCAAGAAGAAGACATTCAACAGATTATTCTTTCATGATTGCATGCAAATTCCAGAAACCATTACAATTTGGGAAAATCATTTTAGGACAATAAAGTATAAAATTTTCGGAGTTATAGTTCATTTAGGAACCATAGTAAATGCAAGCCATTACATTACTCTGATTCCATGCAGAAATGAAGAAGTTTTATAGAATGTGTATAATGATTCTCGATGCTGTCAAATAGACAAATCAATTGTCAACAAGTTATTCCTTGATTTGCTATACAAAACTGACAATTGCTATTTGGGACAAATATATATATATATTCATCAATGGAATGAGTCGACGTTTACCTAATAAATTTTTATAATAATTAAAAACTAAATCTATTAATTTCATTAGTAAAATAATAAATCTTATGTAGTTAACTTGAATAAAGATGTTATTTTGTTTCTGATAATAAAATTAAAAATTCAATAAATTTGATAATAAATGCATTAGGCAATCAATAATAAGTTATAGATACCAACAAAATGATAAACCCTTGCGTTCATCTACGTTCTGGTGCATCATACAAGCCAAAAGCCAAGAAATTAATGATTCTTTCAAGCATGCAAATGGTCTCGAAACATCTTCGATTGTGTTTGTTTCAGTATTCATTGTCTTAACCTTTGCATGTGAAGTTTTTGCGAAATGACCAGGATCAAATCTCTCGTGGTCTTCTACGCCAAATTCTTCAAATTGGGTTAAATTGAATCATAGGTACTCAATTTCAATCATAGTGCCTCAATTAATTAGAGATATGTGTTTGATAAAATTATTCTATATATAAACTATAATATTTTTCAATAATTGTTTTGACAAAAAACGAAAGTTCTTTGAATTTTTTGAAAGAGTTGGACACTTGGAACAAAAAATTTAGCGTTTTTAACGCTCATAGATCAAAGCAAATGAAGTCGGAAATTGCGGGGGTCTTTCAATTACCCGAAAAATAGAATTTTACACGAATGCTCAAAATATTCTCATAATCAAACGAGTTACGAGTAAAAAGATTTTTGGGATGATATTACAATGAAAAAATCATACCAACATATGCAAATTGAATTTGCATCATACCAAACATATACAGATTCTTTATAACTGATAACTTTTAAGAATGTTATATTATGATACAGAACTCCAGTTTGGTATGATTTTTGGGATGACAAGATCTTTCAGGTTGAATTTGCATCATACCAAACATATGCAGATTCCGGAATTGAAATTTCCGAGATAATGTAAGTTTGGGTAAATGCTTGAACTACTCTCTGGTATGGTTCGAGAGTAGATAATTCTGGAGATGTGAGCTGCTGGCATGAAATTCTTGAAGTATGAATGTTTTAGTAAATGCCTTCTGGAGTTCTTGTGATTAAGTCTTTCATTGCAAGCTTCTCTGGATCACATGAAATTATTCCGGCACTTGCAAAAGCGTCAGAACAGTCGGTCGGTTTTATTTCAGCTCAAGCATCAAGGAATGCACGAATTCTTGCGTAGCGGACTTGAGCTGCATTAGAACCAGACTGGAGTTTGTACTTTTCGGCGTAAATTGTGAGAAATTTGAGATAATGATTTTTAATTTTTGATTCCAACTGTACATCAAACGGTTGTAATATGTGTGAACAGTGACCTGGAAAAATGATAACCTCAATATTAAACATTTTAAGGAATCTTATTCCAAAAGGTACTAATCTTGAGGAGTGACCATCGAGAAGTAAGAAAAACGGTTGTTGAAATGGAATTTTTTTCTCATTTCTGAGCAATTGAATATAAGAAACGAATAAAATTGCAAAGCACTCAAATAAATGCTGATTGATCCACCCGGAATTTGAAGAACCGAAGAATGCAGGTAGCGACAAGAATTCCTGTGGTAAATTTGCCAAATGAGAAAATAAAAAATTGGATTCATCGTATATCCAGTTGCATTAAAACAACATAAAGCTGTAATTTGAGTTTGTTGGAGTGCTTTTGGTGAGAGATTCATTTTCTTGTTGTTTGTAATTATCCTGAATGGCTTCTGTATTGATAATCCTGTTTCATCCATGTTGAACAAGAAAAACGGATTAACATTAAGTAAAATAACCTTAAATTTTGAAAAGAAATTCCGAATATTGTTCATATTGCACCATTGACGACGCGCTTCTTCAATACCTGTTGGAGACTTAATATAAATTCCAATTCTGTTGCAAAACTCATTGAGGAATTGAGAAGAATAATCAATTTCATCCAATTCAATAGAAGTTGCAAGTTTCGCCGCTCCCCAGGCGCGCAATCTTTGGCGCGCACGTTGGAACATTTCGTTTCGGAGAAGATGAATTAATTCCAAAACCTCAATAGTTTTGTCGCAGTCGTGATCAAGAGCACTGTAGTGAACTTGGCATTTTGTCCTATTTTCATAAGATGGTGACAAGCACGGACGAGATCCACCTCTTTGATGAGGCTCCCATCTGAATCCAAAAGCAGAAAGCTTAAGGCAATTGAGTAGCGTTTGATCCCCTGAAAGCTGGAGATACATCCTTATGTTGGCAAGTGAAACTCCACTTGAAAAGGCAGCCACGACAAATTTTTGTTCGAGGCTGAAATTCAAGAAGTCTTCGAAGTCTACGTTATAAGGAATGCTTATAGGGGCCCACAATTGCCTTAGTCTCCTTTGAGCTGGAGTCTCAGTATTAAACAAACTCTCCAAATACTTAAGGCCGTTCATTGCAAATGATTTTGGCGGGGAAATTGAGAGGATTTGGGGAAAAATATTGATATAAATGATTAAAATAATAAAATTATGCATTATTTTTAAAAGTGAAGTGTTCGGAAATTGAGTTATATATAATATAAAATTTAAATACCAATCAATGGCATTATAGAATTATTTTATGCAAGTATTTAAATATTCAGATGTGTCTCAAAATTGCGAGGCCACTATGATTGAAATTGAGTCACTATGATTCACCTTTACCCCCTGTATTATCTTTGTCTTTAATGATTTCCTTTACATTCTTCAGGATACCATGCTTGAGAAGTTGCTTCAAAATAATTTTAGTGCCGTAGGACTCCATATTGTTTGATGCGCCTATATAACCAGAATAGTTGCGGTTTCCTCCAATGTGGTTTACCTTGACGCATACAATTACTTTACCAGTGATAGCATCTAATGCTGTCACTGTACAACTTGGAGACTTACGGCGATGAGTCCATCTTGCATCAATAGAGAGACAGCCGCTGAATAAAGCTCTCGCTTCAAACATTGAACGCTCAGCCCGAAGTCGAAGCCGATCTTCAACAGCGCGCTTCACTTTAAAGATTCTGCTTTCAGATTCTTCTATTTTTATCTTGTTAAGATTCTTCCTCCATCTGAAAGCGGAATCTTTTGAATAATCCTCTATTTTTAATGCATCAAACATTTCCATAGTTTGTTTTTCAATTATTTTATCTTGTAAATTTTCTTTTTTCACTTTGTTATACAATTCTTTAAATAATAATACTTCATGAATATATTCTTCAGCTTCTTCATGTGATTTATATACTATTGGAACATTTATTAAAGTCTTTAATGATTCAAATGTTGAGTCGGTTGGTGTTCCCGATCTATTGATATAGATTAGCATATGGCAATATGGGTCATTCTGAGAAATTTTAATAATTTCCTTAATAATTGCAAGAGTCTTTCCTAATGCAGCTGTAATTGCATTATAATAGGAATCAGTTCTGGGAATCTTTTGTAACACTTCTTTTTCCAAAGAACCTTTATTTAAATTTAGATTATTCATTATTCATTTATCTATAAAACAATCGTATTGTTCTTCTGGTGTTAACATTGGTTGCTCATAAAATTCTTCTTCTTCATACATGTTACAAATTTTTTATATTGAATAAAAAATGAGAAAGTTTTAGCGTAAAAGACGAATCATTACCATATCAAATCAATTAGAACCAGTAAAAAGAACTGATTATAAACCATTTCCACAACCATTATACCCACCACCTCCTGAAAATCCTTATGTAAATAATTGAAATTTAAAAAATTTTATTCCAAATGAAAATGGATGAATATGATGTAATGATTGAGTCATTTATTAAATTCTATTCGGATATAGTTGTGGATAATCCTGAGGCAAAGGGATTGTTTTTTGTGGTTGATCAGAGAGGTTTCATTAAAGTGCACTGGGAAAACTTTTATTACGAATTTGTGACATGTGTTCAACTTTGGGATGCCAAACTGTGAGAAAAGTTGTCTTTTATGATAATGATAAACCAATTTTCATTGATGGATTTGCTTATGGCTTAGATAATATTACATTTACTGATTGTTTTTAATATATAATCAATGGATTTACATATTTGGCGGAGTTGGTAAACACAAATCAATACAAAAATATCTCTCAGAGAGAATACATTGGTAAGCAACAAGAAATAGCAATACCAAATTTAAACGAATCACCACAGCCTCAACAACCTCACGAAACTCAAGACTTAATACAATGGTAAAAAAGTAAATTAAAAAAATTAAAAATTAATTGTTTATTTTTGTTTACTATTACTCGAGTATCTTCTGAAGTTCTTCTTCGCCGTAAACTTCTTTTAAGTATTGCTTTTCAGTTTCAGTGACCTTGTCGATGCGACTATATCGATCAATATGATAATCATCTCTCCAGACCAAATTATATTTCATGATCTGGTTGAAGATTTTCTTCGCTGGTTGTGGAGTACCGTTCCATCTTCTTCTCCAGAGCTCTTTGGTCATGCGGGAGGACCATTTGGACTTCTCAAAACATAAGGTTACCGAATCGGGAGGAGTGCGATTGTTAATCATTTGTCGGTACTATTCATTATACTGGAATATGGTAATGTTCTCATCACGGTCTGCTGCATTCTTGATGAACGAAATGAACCATGAGCAATCAGTGGGAAGATAGATCCAGTAATCGAGGGTGTTATTTACTGGAGGAGGTAATGGAGCAGAACGACCTCCACCACAATGCATTCTCTTATGAGAAAAGATATTGTTGCGTGGTGGATATGAAGCAGGATCACGAAGTTTGTTGCAAGGATCAACAGGGAATCGTTCGTGGAACTGGATGAGGCAGGAACATCGGGGGTTGCACTAAGGCTTTTACTTTCCCTGTCGCCGACCATATCATACTCAGTCATTGCTGAAAAATGAACTGTCAGAAAGCGGTTCGATCATGCATTGAAAATTTTTTAAAATTCATTGATTGTCCGTAAATTGATAACTATCTTCAGAATTTTGTATAGAATTATTTCTCTCATACAAATTAAGCTAAAACTCTCGATAGATAACACAAATTTTCGTCATGAGTTTTCTAAAGGAAATCACATGATTTTATGAGTTTTGCTTTAGAAAATTAGTGTGAGTTTAGTTATTTTCTTTAGAAAAACTCATAAAATCATGCAATTTCCTTTAACAACAAAAACGTGCATTTCTTATAATCGGTCATTTCTCAATAAACTGATGTTAAGAAATGGTCATTTCTTAGCAAACAAATGTGTAAGTTGCTTTAAAAAACTCATGAAGGTATCAAAAAATGGTCAAAAATTCATAAAATCGTTTATTTTAAGGGGTTTTCTTCATAAAATATTGTGAGTTTTTAAAGAAAACAAAAACGTGCACGAAACCCGCAATATATACTACTCATAACACATGTCACTATAATATACAAAAATATACAAACTATTTAAATCCATGTTACAATAAACTTTTTCAATCATATTAATTATTTGTGTTAAATCTTTTTATTATCACAATTGATTCACTGACCAAACCAGCAACTAATCATATAATCACTGAGAAAAAAAATAGTTTGGGGCGGCTACAAATTTGCCCAGCCAGTAAAGTATTCAATTTGTTTTTGCATTTTTTTAAAGCTTCTTAACTTAAATCATGGAATGTCTCAAAGACAAAAGTAGCATACAGCATGTAAAGCTAAAGAAAGATAATCATAATTAATACCTTAATTTTTAATATTACGCATTTTTAGGTGCAAAATTTAAAAACATTCTAATACAATAGAGCAGTTTCCAAAAGTAGCATACAGCATGCAAAGCTAAAGAAAGATAATCATAATTAATACCTTAATTTTTAATATTACGCATTTTTAGGTGCAAAATTTAAAAACATTCTAATACAATAGAGCAGTTTCCAAAAGTAGCATACAGCATGCAAAGCTAAAGAAAGATAATCATAATTAATACCTTTAAAGTTTAAAATCTTGATTTTTTTTAAAATCAAATATTTATAACTTTAATACATACAGCTTAAACCTTATACTTGTTTTCTCTTGTGAGAAAGCAATCTTACAAAGCTAACAATCCTAAAAAATAAAGAATTAAAATTTAATAATTTAATCTAACAAAATTTCTCTCTTTATCCTTTTGCACTCTTTATATGCAACTCAAATCCATCATATAATATTCCTATAATACTCTTGCCTCAAACAATGACGAACAAACTGCTATTCTCATTCAATTACAGACCAAATCTATTCAAATTTCTGAATTTTTAATTTTCATTTCAATTTCAAATGGAATTAGAAGAAGAAACTATCTTTACTGTTATGGATCTTTGTAAATTTGGAGTTAAACAAGAAATACAAGCACAGTATGGATATGGTGAACGTGTCAGGAAAGAAAGATCTCAGATTTCATTCCACTGCAAATATCCAAAATGTCCTGCACATTTTAATGTTGCAATCTTGGATCAAAATAAATACAAACTAATCAAAATAGTTGAAGAACATGATCATTCCGCCCCAAATGACAAAAGTCAATATTCGTCTGTCTTTTATCGCAAATATTTAGAACATTACTTCCAAACAGATGACAATCAAAGAGCGATAGCACAGCTAAATGCATTCAAAGATCTTGAAATTCCTCTTACAGGTCCGTCCATTCCAGAGATGTACGCTCAAAAACCACGTGCAATCAAACGATTTGCAGAGAGAATACATGCTCTTCAAACTAGATATTCTCCTGACGATGTTGTGTCATTGCAAATCTTTGTTCAGACAGTACAAGAAGAATCTCCAGATGATCTCATTGCATTTGAAGTCTCAGACAATAATATGTGTTTCTATTACGCGCCTTTTGAAGGCAAAGCTTATGCGCATAGTATCAAGACATTTCATATAGACAGCACCTATAAATTGTTGCGATCAAACATTCCATTGTATGCATTTACTGGCAAAATCAAAGATTTTCACATTTTCCCTTTTTTATATTTCTTTTGTCAACCAGACACTTATCAAAACATTCAAGTTTGCGTGTGCGCCTATCTCAGATGGGTAACAATTGAGCCAGAATACATTAGCATGGACTGTGCTCCACAGATAGCTCAAGCAATAGAAGAAAGCATTCCACAAGCTCAAATACTTTGGTGCGGAGTACATGTTCTTCGTGCAATTCTTCGCAAATCAAATAAGTTTTCTTCTCAAGAAAAATTTGAACAATTCTATAATTTGATGAAGGATTTAGTCTTCAAATTAGATGCAGAACATGAGGAAGAAGCAAATGCTGCCTATGATCAAGTTCTGGAGTTGCTCGACACAGATCCAACAGCATCTCAATACTTTAACAGACAATGGCGTTACAACATATCAAGATGGATTGCTCGTGACAGGCGTGAAGGCGACGCAACTAACAATATTGCCGAAGCTCATTTTAGAACACTCAAACATGACTATTTTCCTGATCGAAAAAATCTCAGAATTGATGATGTTATTATAGAAATTTATACAAAAGTGATACCATCTTTCGTTATCAAACTCAAAATTGATCAAAATCCAGCAGATGACCGTGTCATTAGGATCATGGAAAAAGCAACTAACGCAGAAATTGATGTAAAAAGACAAAGAAAAATCGAGAGTATTTCAATGCTCAATAGATTGCTCAATGCTGTTAGTGATGACTCAATAGATCCCACTAAAATATATCCTACCTTGAAAGTATTATTACAAAGAACTCATTTTATTTAATTTTGATTTTAATTTTAGATTAAATTATTAAATTTTAATTCTTTATTTTTTAGGATTGTTAGCTTTGTAAGATTGCTTTCTCACAAGAGAAAACAAGTATAAGGTTTAAGCTGTATGTATTAAAGTTATAAATATTTGATTTTAAAAAAAATCAAGATTTTAAACTTTAAAGGTATTAATTATGATTATCTTTCTTTAGCTTTGCATGCTGTATGCTACTTTTGGAAACTGCTCTATTGTATTAGAATGTTTTTAAATTTTGCACCTAAAAATGCGTAATATTAAAAATTAAGGTATTAATTATGATTATCTTTCTTTAGCTTTACATGCTGTATGCTACTTTTGTCTTTGAGACATTCCATGATTTAAGTTAAGAAGCTTTAAAAAATGTAATAAAATAAAAAAATTTTTAGTATCGATAATCTGAAATATGATGTTTTCTTAAGCCGCGAGCGAAGCGAGTGGCTTAGTTTCGTAATTTCATACAATCTTTTTTCGAATCTGTTCTTTTCTTAAGCCGCGAGCGAAGCGGGTGGCTTAGTTTCGTAATTTCATACAATTATTTTACGAATTTGTTCTTTTTGTCAACCGCGAGCGAAGCGAGTGGCTTTTTATTTTCTTTAAATTTTTTTCTTTCTTACTTTTTTTCCCTTACTTACAAATTTGATAGTAACTTACCAAATCTCTCTATCATATAATAATGCTGCACTATCAGTTTCTCGGTCAATATTGATTTCCAAACTAAAAGAATAGATGAACATGCATCTCACATGTACAGTGAATACTACAATCGCTTTAGACTGGAAATCAAAATTTAATAATTTGATCATTTCTTGTGATATGCTTATTTTGACTAAAAACATCTCTAGCAAGTAATAAATTAAGGATTTCTATGATTTTTCATTTGAATTCTCTGAATTCTGATATTTTTCAATCTCATCTAAAAATTCTGAAGAAATATCAGCAAGATCTTGGAAATCACTATCAGCGCATGATTCAATTTCTTCTATAATATCGTTTTCATTCAAAAATTCGTATATTTGATGCGTAATTGAAGGTGTTTTGAATAAATTAAACAATGAAGCAACAAATTCAACTGAATCTGCTGAATCTGAATCTACAAAGCTAGATATAACACCTAATACACCAGATGATAAAATAAATTCTGGGCTAATTTGTTGATAAATCAAATAAGCAAGAAACCGTGCTATTTGTATTCCTAAGCTATAAGGATTTTCATCAACCATTGCAATAAGTGCTGATATAAATTCATTGCTGTCTTTTAAAATAATTTCTAAATGTCTTTGATTTCTTTCACATAAAGCAACCTCTGCATCACAAAGTGTATTAAATAGTTGTGGGTCTTTGCATCCAATCATTCTTTTAAGTATAAAATCCGATGGAGGAACGCCAGGATATTTATTATTACAAATAATATTAATAATCAAATTTAGAACATCTGGACTATTAACATCCATCCATTTAAAGAATATTGATATTAATTCTTTATCAAATTGAACATATGAGAGGATATTAAGATAAATACAACAAAAAAACTTAATAATATTTGGATCAGCAATAGTATCAATAAATTTAATGTGGGTTGTTAAGAATTGGTTGATTAAATCTGCTAATTTATAGTTTTTGGTCATATAAATTAATTCATTCAAAAATACAAGCATCCTAAGCATTAAAACACTGCTATTTGGATCTGAATTAATTATAATGATCTTATTTATTGTATTATTTAGTATTTCCGTTAAAATATCTAAATTTAATTGTTGAATAATTGTCTCTGATGCGTCTTGGTCTTTTAGAATCTCAATGATTACGCTAAAAATGTTGGAGATTGCAAAACAATCATTTCCTTCTTTGAGAAAACCAATGATTACATTTAAATTTTCATCTTGGATAAATATTAAACGATTACAATTAGTGTCTTTTGCGTATGCTCTAAGCAATGCAGATGCTCCTTGTACAATATTCATAAATCTTGACTGTAAATTATGAATTATGAATGATACTAGAGGATCTTCAACGTTTTGATTGATAACTAATGAACTATTTTGTGATAATATTTGTAATATTACGTTGTATTGCGAATCTAACTGTTTTTCGTCAACAACAGTTGAAATTGAAATATCATTTATGGCCGAAATGCATTTTTCTAACTGCAAAATATCATCATCGCTTTCAGCATTTCTTTCTATATCATTCTGTACACGATTTTTCTTTTGATTTTCTTCAAATTTATAATCATCCATATAGACAATAAGCGAAATGTGGATTTAAGTCAAAGTTTATATGTTATTCCATAATTCATTACATTATTTAATATTATTGTTCGCTAACAATCATTTATTTGAAAGACGAAATCAAAAACGTGACAGGAAAAGATTTCTTATTGAATGAACATTACTATTCGAGCAGCGGTATTATCTACAATCACTAGTAGATCACCGCTGTTTTCTATACCATCAAAGAGAGATGTTTCATTCTTCAGAATAGAAAATTCGAAGTTTTCGAAATCTTTTAGTACGATTATCAGTGGTAAATCATCGACAAATTATCAAATCACACACTCGAAGTTTTCAGATATCCTAAGCGCAGCAATTCATCTTGATAATGAAAACATAAATGGAACTCTATTTAAAGAAAAACAAAAAATTAATTCGACTGTCACATCTATAACTCATTGTCAATTCTTGAAATGTGTACAACATGACTACTTCTTCAATTCCGTCGAAGGTGGTGCTATTCTTATTCGAGGTTTAATTGTAGATATCTCTGATTGCGTTATCCGACAATGCTACGTTTTCCAGATTGGTGGAGCTATAAGAGTATCAAACTCCGCAAGCATTAGTATCAACAACTCCTTAATTGCTGAAAATAATGCAACGAATTTTTGTGGAGGTGTATCTCTTTTCCATGTATTCGAATCCGTTATTCAAAACAACAACCTTACATTCAATGTATGCAAAGGACAAGTCTCTGCTTTAATGTTGACTCGATGTTTATCATCATCCATCCAAAACAACATATTCTTTAACAATACAGCTAAATCACACGCTTCTACATTCTTAGAGTATACGAATGCTACAAGTAGCGGACTTATTTACGTTTCAAATAATGCAGATATCGCAACTGCTCTTGTTGTTACTCACAACTCAGATTTCGAAGTATTTTCATCATACTTTTCCGATTTGGCAAAGAATCCTTCTATTTTAGTCTCTAAAAAAGCTAAAATCGAAGTTACGAAATCTTTCTTCGGCGGCATTCTTAAAGACGAGATTGTAGAAGAGTCAGATGGAGAAAGTGCTAATGAAGAATGCACAGAAGGCCAAAAGAAGGAAATTGAACTTGAAAATTTAACAGAAATTTCATTCCACGTAGAAACCGAAGAAGTAAACAGAAACGAGTTTGTTCCCATCTTCTTAGGAGGAAATGAGCATAATACTCCACTCAGCCGGCATACTTTCGTTGAAGAAGTTGATCATGGTTTGGATAAGTCTACAATTATGATTATTGCTTATGCAATTGTCATCATGATGCTTATTGTTGGCCTTAAAATGTATTTTGGAGGTAATTCTTCCGATCAGAAAGGAGTTAGTACTTCAATTTTCGGAGATGAAAGTGATGACATCGAAGATGAACCAGAGAACTTCATGCATGATAAAACAGATCCAAACAAAGTCGGAGAAAAGCCAGAATTGGAGAAACTAGTTGGAAAGGAAGTTCATCTTGAAGAAGAGCATGAAATTGCATGAAATAGATTTTTATGCGTGTATATTATATATATAGTTTTTTTTATTTGATTGTAAACTAGAATTTTTATCTATTATTAATTTGTTGTATGAACGGGTTATCTATGGAAAAGTCGCAATTTTTTAAAAATGGCTATGGCTTTCGATAAGGTTACTGAGAATTTTTTTAAATGGCTATGACATTCCGGAAATCCACTGGTAAAAAGAAAAATAGAACATGATTCAATAGTACAGTGTATATTGTGCGTCACCCGGCTTCTGCTACGAGAGCCGGCACAATATAAAAAGTGACAAAAAAGCGACACCATACGGGCACATATATGTATGCGTATACGTATAAAAATAAACGTTCATATGTAAACTAGCCTTTATTCACTAGCTGGAGCCGATAAATCATAATCGTCAAGAAGTACGATAGGTGGTCTTATATACAGGGTTAAGGAATTTAACACTTTACAACGTAAAGTGTCAAATTTTAAAAATAATTTTTGGTGAAGTTCATATTAATTTTGAGTAGAGGAAAAGATATTTCATGCAATAGTACTCACACCCTCCAATTCTTAGCCATTTTGGCTGAGAACTATGGTCTGCGAGGTACATGGATAGAATCAGTACCTCGCAGACTATAGTTCTCTATATGGCGTCGAGAAATTTTGATAAAATGTCGTCGCATTTCACCAAAATTTTCTCGACGCCATAGGAAGAATTGGAGGATGTGAGATACTATTTCATGCAATAGTACTCACACCCTCCAATTCTTAGCTTAAATATATTTCAATTACGTCAAAAATTTTTTGATTCCTTATCAAAAAATTTTACGAGTAGGGGTAATTTTAGCTAAAAGTGACGCATTTAAAAAGTGACACACCCATGAAGGGTGTGAATTACCGATCTTGTAATTTCGACAGTTTAGAATTTAAAATTTTTTATGGAACTGTTGCGAGTTTCATAAAGAATTTGAGGAATATCCGCAAAGATTTGGATAGAAATCTTCAACGTAAGCCGCTCGCTTCACTCGCAGCTTTCTTTATTAAATTAGATTTGCGGATTTCCATCAAAAGTTAATAAGGTAAAAATTTCGTTTAAGAAAAAAAATCTTCATTATCGAAATAATATTAAATGATAATATAATGTATAAACAACTATTATTTAATAAAGTATAATTGCCAAGGTTCATTTAATTTATCATGTATATATCTAATGAAGATTATATATGTATAAGATAAGTACCTTAATATGTACGTAAAAAATTAATGAAATTTATTTTGAATGTAGAACCGAGCAATTTTCAAATTTTGTGCTTTTTTTGAATTTTCTCGACACCAGATAAGTTGTGTTGGCTAAATAATATACTGATACATTCTGCCATATAGATGAATATATGCACAAAGTTTAAGAGGCCATTTTCTTTCAGAAAGCGAGATTTGTGAATTTTTTCAAATTTTTTGAATATTCTTTTTGATATCGAAATCATTTCATTTTTTTGATGTATATCAATGCCCCATGCGAACTTAAAGAAAGGCTATCTTATATAGATGCTATGAAAGCTGTCATTGATAACGAATGCCATGCAGGTTGTCCATATCAATTAAAAAAAATCCAAATTTGGGGAAACAAAATTAAAATTCAGGTGCAGTGCAGATAAATGTGAAGCATGTATCTCATTTCTAAAGGATGATGAAGAATATATCCTAACAGAATATAATGGAACACATAATCACAATCAAATCAAAGATGAGACAAAGAAATACCACACATTATCACAATGCTATCGTCGGGTTCTTATTAATTTTATAAAACAGGGGGTGATCCGAAAATGGCTCAAATTGAATGGGACAAAAAACTTGATCTGGATGATCCACTTAACAGGCCATCTTTTTTGAATGCATCTTCAGATCAAATGAAAACAATTCAGGAAGAGGAGCGCCAACTCGGGAAAATCATTTCCACTGCCCCGAGTTGGCACTTTTTTCTGTTATAGATAGACCTATAATGCCTATGGTGAAATATCAGTACTACCACTAGGCATTAACATATATCAAGATTGAATCCAACTTGATGTTGCATAAGATTGCATAATCTCATATTCTTACAATTTTTGGAATAATTATAGTACTCAATTGTATGTTTCCTATATATGAATATTTGATACTTATTTTAATCAGATATCGAAAGCGTAAGATATTTTATATTATATAATTTGGTCAAGTTTGGAATTTGAATGTAATATTAAGGATATGAATTTGGTATACTATATACTATATGCGTTGAAGCAGAATATAGAAATAGGATAGGATTTTGAGAATTTATCTAAAATTATTAAACCTAAAGTTCAGTGATATAATGGTAGATCACTTTAAATCCTAGTGTATATATGAGTGATAGTAGTAAAATGGCGTAATAACTTGTATATAAGAAAAATTTTATTTAATTTTCAAAACCAAAGGAGTAGAAGCATGTGTATGGTTTATCCATCTCATGCATATTGTAAGTTCGTATAGTTTATATGGGCATTTCTGTATTTTGAGATTCGGCATATCTTATAAAACAAAAGTTTTATAAGATATGTATCGTAATGTAATTTATTGAGGGGGACTTTCGTATTTCAATAAAGAAAAGGTCTGCTTTCCATATCTTTTGAATGGAAGTTTCAAACTTTGATAAATTTTAGTACATTGTACGATGATAATCAATTCAAGGCAACTCAAATATTTAAGGGTATCAAAGAGCAAGAGTCACCAAATGATTTAATTTATTTCGATGTCGATAATTACAACAAACCAAAGAAATTAATCTTTTATTATGCTTCTTTCAAATTTATGGACATAATCAAAATTGTGAAAGAGCATTTTATTGATGCAACTCATTCATTACTTAGTAGTATATGTGGAAGGGTTGTGTGACTTTTTTTGTAAACGTAAGAATTCATACAATATTGAACGATTTTGTATCATTTTTTTTAACATATGAAGTAAAAAATGTATGATTCTTACGGTTTTTATTCTTACGTTTTTGAATAAATCAAGATTTAAAAAATTTTCAAATCGTAAGACATTTACACTCAGCCCATACATTTTAAAATAATTTATCTTTAATTCGTATGAAATGAGCGTCAAAACTAACGACGTTAAAAAATTGGGATTCACAAATGAGGAAATAAAGGATATATTAGATGAGGCGGGTTATGAGGTTGATAAATATTATTTAAGAAATTGTCAAAAATTCGCGGAGTTTTTAAATGAGTTTGATTATGATGGAAAAATGAATAAAGATGATGTTATAAATTTCTTATATCCCACATCTAAAGAAGAAAAACCTAAAGAACCTGATGTTTTCCCTGAATATTTTGAAGAAAAAATTAAACAAGATGAATATTATAACGATGAGATTGAGAAATTGGAACAATTAAGAAATGAAATAGATGAAAAAATTAAGGAATTGAGAAATGTTGAGAATGAAGTAGAGGGTTTAATGAATATCCCAGCTTCAGAATCAGAAGTTCAAAAATCACATGAGGAAAGATATAAAAATTACTTTTTGGAATCTACTAAAAATTTATTAGATGGTGATATTGACGAAACACTTTCAGAAGAAGGCACAAAATTTATTCATAAACATAAGCTTCAGTTTATTGACGATGGAGATTATCCATGTATATTACTTTCACCTCCTCTTGATTCTGAAAAATTCAAAAAAGCACTGAAAAATGTAACATATGCAACAAATACGATTAAGAAAGAAGACCATGATATTTACACAAATTATTATTTAAATAAATGTACAGGTGTTGATAAAGTTTTTGATTTGTTAGATAAAATATCAAAAGAAACAATTGGAACATATAAAATTTTGTGTGATTGTGGTTTCATTATTGAAGATACCAATAATGTTTCATATGAAAGAACAGCACCGAAGGAAGACGAAGTTGAAAGGTCTATACCATTCGTTATTAAGAACATAAAAGATATGAAAACGTATAAGCATTATATTTATTCATTTATTTCAGAAAAAATGGAAGCAACCCATAAAACATCTTCTCATCATTTTATAGCTATTCATACATTCCTTTTCAAAGTTGTGAAATTAAATAAGACAGGAATTAGATTTAATGTATCAGGGTACGCATTCTTGAGTAAATTAAAATGTATTCGTCACGTCGCAGATGATAAAAATTTATGTGTTCTTAATTCATTTTATGGGCTTTAAAAAATAAACTTTATTTTTATTTATTTTTTTAATTTTTATTCTTACATAAATGAATAAAAACGGAACAGCTAAAATGAATGATAATCAAATAAGAGCAGAAGGTAGAAGGTTATTTAAACGCTTCTATAACATTCCTGATGGTGTTAATCCTAAAACTCGTAGAAGTTATTTAAATGAAGCAATAGATTCATATGAAGGGTTTGACATTTCATCAGAAAGTGAGAGATTAGCGAGAATGTTAAATGTTAATATTGATTTCTATTATTGTGATCCTCAACCAGAAGACGTAGACATTAACAAGGTAGACTTTCCATTAGTGGAATCAATAATGATAGATCCAGAATTTGAAACAGTAAATATTTTATTAACACAGAGTCCATGTGGAAAGCTTCACGCTGATAGAATAACAGACGTTGAAGCACTCACCGGCTATAGAGTTTGCCCCTTTTGCAAAGAAGAAGTATATTCTATCCGTGATGATCCAGAAAGGAAAAACCAAAGAAGATTTTTAAAACATTGTGAGAAATGTAAAGAAAATAATGGAAGATTAATTCAAGACGTTCAATTGCAAAACACACAACAACCATATGCACCACATATCACGAAACAGAAGATATATCAATGGCTATTAGCACATAATTTGCAGGAATATTATAAACCAACAAGATATTATATTACTTTTGACTTCGAAACATTAGAGACTAAAGAAGAACTTCAACTTTCTGAATGTGCAACTTTGAACGCTTACTTAAAACCATTTATGGTATCATCAACTGTCAAAATAAAGCCGCAAAGCG